CGCCCCCGCGCGCGCTCTCTCTCTCTCTCTCTCTCTCTCTCTCTCTCTCTCTCTCTCTCTCTCTCTCTCTGTCTAGCGCATAACTTAGCATCCTATTGTGCAGATACAAGTTGTAATGTTACGTCTGCTATGTATCTAAGTTATCTGATTTATCATAGGATGTGTCATAGAATGAGCTTCAGTTTATTGGCATAAAGTCACTCTTCACCTCAGGCAGCTATTCCTTTTTAGATGCTTCTTTATTAATAACATTGCTTCATCATAATCATAATCTAACATGTCCTAATCATGTGTTCATGTTTTCATAGACAGGTTTTCATGTCATATTTTTATTTTTAACATTCATTTTCATAACAATCTTCAGATTTTTTCATGATATCCTTTACGGCCATGCCCCGCCCCCCGCACAAGCCCCGCCCCCGATTACTCGAAATTTCCCAAAATGCCCATCCCTAGTGTGTGTGTGTGTGTGTTTGTGTATGTATGTATGTGTGTGTGTGCATAATTTATTGTACGGTTGGAAGATCCAAACATGGCCCATTATAAGATTTCTAACAGAGTCAGTCACTTATTATTATTTTTTTATCTGTTGGTATTTGATAGAATCCATGATGCCATGTGTCTAAACAAGATGTCCAGGACCTCTAGCAGAAATATAGGCCCACAACATCAAAAATACAGCAGTATTTTTCATTGTACACATGGGGTACTTTTTATTCCTGTGTTCACCAAACCCATCTTGAGTGTTTGCTGCTAAAAAGCTCCATTTTTTAGTTTCATCTGACCATTGAAGCCAGTCCCATTTGAAGTTCCAGTCGTGTCTGACAACAGAATATGCTGGGGATTGTTTTGGATGAGCTAGGAGAATTTTTCTTGAAACCCTACTCCCAAACAACATGTGGTGATGTAGGTGCTGTTTGACAATTTTTTTTCAGATTTTCTGACCCCGAGACTCAACTATTTTCTGCAATTCTCCAGCTGTGGTCCTTGGAGAGTCTTTGGCCACTCAAACTCTCCTCTTCACCGTGCATTAGGACGATATAGACACACGCCCTATTCCAGGCAGATTTGCAACATTTTATGTTGATTGGAAATTCTTAATTATTGTCCTGATGGTGGAAATGGGAATTTCCACTGCTCTAGCTCTTTTCTTAAAGCCACTTCACTAATTTGTGAAGCTCAGTTATCTTTTGCTGCACATCAGAAATATATTCTTTGGTTTTTCATTGTGATGGATGATTAAGGGATTTTGACCTTTTGTTTTCCCTCCCATTTATATTTCTGTGAAACAGGAAGCCATGGCTGGATAATTTCATGTTCATAATCACCCTGGAGTGCTCAAAATTGTGAATATGAATGGGAATATACTTCAGAGATATTTTTACTCATAAGAATTTCTAGGGGTGCCAATAATTGTGTCCAACGTGTATTTGAGAAAAACATTTAATTATATTTCCCCCCCATTTTAAATTCTTATTATGCAATGAATTTTTAAAATAAAAGATCAAAAGGATTAACAATGTAGATTCATTTTCACAGCCTTCTTTGATCACATTTACCAAGGGTGCCGATATTTTTGGCCATGACTCTATATATAGATATATATATATATACAAGGTATATATATATATATATATATATATATATATATATATATATATATACCTTGCTATGTGTACTGCGTTAGGCTAACCGAGACTTGTCATTTGCACTTATATTGTTGCTCTTTTGTTAGTTTTGACTGCTTTTGTCCTCATTTGTAAGTCGCTTTGGATAAAAGCGTCTGCTAAATGACTAAATGTAAATGTAAAATCTTATGCTTTAGATTGATGATCTAGTGGCATCACGCAAATATGTTAGTGGACTGGTTAGATGGAACCAAAGACCTTTTAAACAAACTTTCTGTGACATGCTTTAGCACATATTTAATTGCAAGGAACTGAAAGTGTCACTTCTGATGTGTTTATTGTACATGCATACATACATATAAGATTGTCACTTCCTGTCTAAAGGAGACTCCAGTTACCCTGGACGTGCCATTAGGCGTCATAAGCCGTATAGAGAAGATGGGCGGAGCCTCCAGTCGAGGAGAGAACTCCTACGGGCTTGAAATCACCTGCAAGGTATCGCTCACACAAAGCCCTAGAAATTCACATCCCATAACCGCTAATGTTAAGGGCAGCAAATGAGGGGAAAAGTGGTGGTGGGATCCTAAAGTGTTGCAAGCCAGATTTTAACTCGACATATTGCATGTCATGTGTAGTATCACACAGTGTTTAATAACCATTTGCTCCAAAAATGTTTTTGAATATTTTCTATACATGTTAGTACCTTCATCTGTTTTTAGAGCACTTACAGCTTCTGCTTTGATTTTGAATGTAAACTGCTATAGTATGAAAATGTGACAGCTTAGGTTAGAGCAGAAGTGTGACATTCTCAAATAATTTTGTGTGTGTGTGTGTGTGTATGTATCAGGACATGAGGAACCTGCGATTTGCTCTGAAGCAAGAAGGCCACAGTCGAAGAGACATCTTTGAGATTCTTTTCAAATATGCTTTCCCACTGTCTCATGGAATGGTCAGTGTTTGGTGTTTAATGTTATTCTTAAATGCTAATTTTTAGACTCACTCAGAAATGATTTAAAACTAAATTAATCACTTTTGTGCATTTTATGCAGTGCGATTAAGTGTCAACGTTTCAGGATTTCACAACTGGATTTCATCATTAGCAGAATGCATGAAATACTGGTTTAACTTACTCTTTAACGTATTCTTTCTTTGACTTTCACAGCAACTCTTTGCCTTTCTGAGTCAGGAGAAGTATGAGGAGAATGGCTGGAACGTTTATGAGGCCATGGAAGAGTACAGGAGGCAGGTGAGGACCAGATGCCAGGACATGTGCTAGTCTAGAAACAGTCGTGCTGCCCTTGTTCAAACTGCTCACACTTGCCATTCACTTGCTAATATAATATAATAAAATACAATATTGTTAATGTAGTTACTGCACAGTGCACTTTCATTAATGATTATGTGTTGTTTTTCTGTTCTGATTGTCAGGGTCTACCCAGTAGTGAGTGGAGGGTCACTTTCATCAATAAGAACTACGAGCTGTGTGACACCTATCCCACAATTCTTGTTGTTCCATACAAGGCCACAGAGGAAGATCTTAGAAGAGTTGCTACCTTCCGTTCCCGCTGCCGCATCCCGGTGAGCTCTTTCACAGATGACCAGTTTGAAAGGCCAGAATAATGGTGTGATTCTTGTTGGAAGGTCATATTCAAGCTTCTGCTGCATAATGTAGGCTGTTTAGTGGAAAATTTTGGAGAATGCCAATTGAAATTTTTGCACATAAATAAGAAAGCAATGCTTTTCAGATTTATTTAATTGTATAAATTACTTTCATATATTTACTGTGATATTTATTATTATTATTATTATATGTGGTTGGATATTTATATATCTCTGTATGATGATAACGTCATCATACAGAGATATAGGAGCTGCGCAAAAAATCGCGCGAATATGAACATGGTTTGGCGCAGCTCGTCAGTGAACAACGGCTCTGTGTAGTTAATGCTGCTCAATGTGAAAGCACGCAGGTGATGGAGATTTACCGCTGATTAAAGAACCGGCTTTACTGATAAGATGCGCGTTAAATATCGCTTGCGATTAATCGTGCAGCCCTATAATATACTAATAAAAAAGAAAATTCCTAATTTTGGCATCCAGTATGGTACCGATACATATTGTGCACCCCTAGATGATGATAAAGCTTTCTTTTGTTGTCCTCATCTTCAATTCAACAATGTGTTTTTTATTAAATGTTTGTTGATGACCTTACCTTCCGTAATGATGATGTGTTTCCTTCCCCTCTCAGGTGTTGTCGTGGTTCCATAAAGAGAACCATGCTGTGATCATGCGGTGTAGCCAGCCGTTGGTGGGAATGAGCGGCAAGCGCAACAAAGATGATGAACGTTACTTGGACCTAATCCGTGAGGCCAATGGTACTACCAAACTCACCATCTATGATGCCAGGCCTAATGTCAATGCTGTGGCAAACAAGGTAAGATCGCAGAGGGATACTAATAAGTGGGGCTTAGTGTCAGATCTGAGAGATTCAAATTCATCTCCAAGGAATTTTTGAGAGTTTTTGAATATGAAAACCCTCTTTGTTTACCTCATATCTAACTTATGGCCGTATCCACTGAAGGTATGGGCTGGTTACTGTTTTCCAGCCGGTCTTAGACTCTTGGTTTGTATTAGACAAACAAAACTGTTTGCTTTTGCATGAGTGTGTTGCCAAACTAATTAAAAGCAAAACCAACCACAATGTGGACCCAGATGTGGACCACAGTGGTGCTATGCCACACTGAACACCACTGACAGAGCATTTTGAAATGGCATTATTGATCCAATATTTTTTCTTGGAAAATGTGTTTTGGTAAATGAAGTGTGAAAGTAAGTGTGCAGAAATTCTCTACATGATCACATATCTTAACCTGTACACTTCTCACCCCTTACCCTGCAGGCCACAGGAGGGGGTTACGAGGGTGACGATGCATATCAGAATGCTGAGCTGGTCTTTCTGGACATCCATAATATCCATGTCATGAGGGAGTCACTGAAGAAGTTAAAGGACATTGTCTACCCCAATGTGGAGGAGTCTCATTGGCTCTCCAGCCTGGAGTCCACCCACTGGCTAGAGCATATTAAGGTTTGTTTTTTATTCCATGCATACCAATATATATTATAAACGGATGCACATAAGTGGTACGCAGGTGCGCATGCGCGACCAAAATAAAAATTGCGCTGTGTAAATTAGTTTAGACCGCTCATTAGCGTACCGACATGGTTGACGGCTGTTAATGCACAATTATAATTTTAGATTGACAAACTGTAATACTGTATAAGATTTCTATTCGAACTGAGAGCATAAATCTAGGCTATCCGCTGCCTTTTTCAAAGCACAGTGCAAAACTGTGACATTTCATTCACTGACACTCTTCAATCGGCAGTGCTAAACCCAGCAGCGCATGTACTTGCCGGCAACCCGCCAAAATAAAAGCTTGCTGATTTTAAGTTTAAAAATTATGAAAATTCATATAAAAATGTTTTATATATTAGCATTTTATTTTTAAATTTACTATAAAATAATTGTATTTTTATTTAATATTCCCTTTTTATTTTAAAATATAATATTATTATTACATCTTATTATTTTGTTTATTTTATTTTTTTAAATAAATTAAGTGCAATAATATTATTATCACTATCAGAATTTAAAAAATATTTTTATAAATTCTTACTTTTAGTACTTCTTACTAAAAGCACTTACTTTCACACTTCATGTACTGTTTAATGGGTCACACTCTGTGCAGTGTGAAGACCAAATCAAAACTCCAGGTGCTCTTTTGAGAACCAGGCTGAAAAACTTATGTGCACCCCTTATTATAAAACTCAACATGCTCTACTGTAACTACCTTCTATCCTGCACTAGCTGGTGCTATCAGGGGCCATCCAGGTGGCTGATAAGGTGTCTTCTGGGAGCTCTGTGGTGGTGCACTGCAGTGACGGCTGGGACCGCACAGCTCAGCTCACTTCTCTGGCCATGCTGATGCTGGATTCATTCTACAGGACTCTCAGGGGCTTCCAGGTGCTGCTGGAGAAGGAATGGATCAGCTTTGGACACAAGTTCGCCTCAGTGAGTCCCAGCTGGGTTTACAAAGTCTTGGATCTGGAAAACCACACATTTAGTGATGGAGTTTGAGTTCTGTCAGCCATGTTATCAGGATGATTGCTTTAATAGAGTTGATAGAGCATTAATAATAAGGGTAAACCACATCTGGGTGTTTTAGCTTTTGTTTTTTTTGTAAACAAAAAAACTAATTGTTATCAGTTGGTATTTACTTCATGCTTTATGTGTGTAGAGAATCGGCCATGGAGACAAAAACCATGCAGATCAGGACAGGTCACCTATCTTTTTGCAGTTTATTGACTGCGTGTGGCAAATGACTAAACAGGTAGGAATCTAATTGTCTAACCATGTGAACTGTCATACTGCTCCAAACCTGTATTGCTGTTTTGTTCTTTCTGTTCTGTGGAACACAAAAGGAGGTATTTTGCAAAATGTCTGAGCTGCTGTTCAGTCATTGTGGATGCTGATTTATGCTGTGAATCTAACAGCATCCGCCTTCACGTGACATTCCCAATCATGTGGATTCTGTTCAAATTGACTGGATTTAGCTCCTGTGATAATTTGCAGAACAACGGTAAATGTGACCGCATTGTAACACAAGACAGCATTCAGCATCATTGATATCAAACCTGGCACAAAACAACTTAACACGGTATATTTAAATATATGCAACCTTGAGATCTGAGTGGCAAACCACTTAAAGGGTTAGTTCACCCAAAAATTCAAATTAGCCCATAAATTACTCACCCTCAAGTCATCCTAGGTGTATATGACTTTCTTCTTTCAGACAAATCCAGTCTGAGTTATATTAAAAATTGTCTTTGATCTTTCAAGTTTTTCAATGCCACTCAGCGGGTGTTGCATGCATCAGTCCAAAAGAAGTTAAATAAAAAGCCCATCCATAAAAAAGTGTCTCACACAGCTCCGGGGGGTGAACAAAGGCCTCCCTATTCAAAACGTAATAATCACTTTAATCTAGCTTGCACTCACTGTTGTAAACGGAAGCAGCTCCAGGCGGATGGCGTATGAGTTCGGCTTTGCGCATGCGCCGCTCAGAAGTGACGAACGCGGAAGCGCAGGGGAGAGATCAAAATAAAACAACGGTCACTTATTAGATGTACAAAACGAGGATTTGTAAAGAAGAATGTCAGAGGATTTCGATATAAGCCAAGAGGAGACTGGTTTTCCTTTGCTAAAGTAAGGAAACTTTGTTTCCTTTGCTCCTGTTAACAAACGTTGGTTTTCACGAGACTCACCAGCGCATGCGCAACGCTGAACTCATACGTCATCAGCCATTAACACGGAGCTGCTTCCGTTTACAACAGTGAGCGCAAGCTAGATTAAAGTGATTATTAAATTTTGAATATGGATATTTTTCTTACAAAAACGCATCGATTAGCTACAGGAGGCCTTTGTTCACCCCCCGGAGCCGTGTGAGACGGGGTTTTTTATGGATGGGCACTTTTTATTTAACTTCTTTTGGACTGATGCATGCAACACCCGCTGAGTGGCATTAAACAGCTTGAAAGATCAAAGACCATTTTTAATATAACTCCGACTGGATTCGTCTGAAAGAAGAAAGTCATATACACCTAGGATGACGTGAGGGTGAGTAATTTATGGGCTAATTTTCATTTTTGGGTGAACTAACCCTTTAACAACACAAAGCTAGCTGTTGTATGTAGTCAGCAGTAGTATTAAGTACTTTATTGGCGCTTGAACATCATTGTCTAATATATAACACAGAAATCAGCATCTCAAATATCTCTTTTGTGTTAATCAACTAAAACATAATACAGATTTTGTACATTTGTAGATTTGGTTTTGTAAAATTATTTTATCCAGCTATTTAAGAGTTTAATGTGTTAAAGGTGCCATAGAATGCATTGATACAATATTTTAAATTGTTCTCTGATATCTACATAAAAGGTATGTGGCTTAGGAAAGGGCAAAAAATCTCAAGAAAAGGTTTTACATGTCCATTTACAACCCTAGGATTTGTCCCTAGAATGAAATGGTCTGATTTTTCCTTATTTGGAAGGGTCATGAATAATAATGTTGAGCTCTGCTCTGATTGGCTGTTTCACAGTGCGGCTCAATGTTGAGCTCTGCTCTGATTGGCTTGTTTCACAGTGCGGCTCATTTCAGTAGCTCACACAGCAGGAAGGAAACACAGGGAAAATATATATTTCAATACTGTCTCTCACAGTTATATCGTTGGGTAATTATACTGTATATAAAATGTGGGCAACAGGGAGCCGATATTAATATGCGGAGCATTGAAACTGCTTTCGAGTGCACGATCGCGTTTTACTTTCACTTTCGAGATTTGCGATCACACGTGCTCTGTGTAAAGTACAGCGGCAGTACCATGGGCGGGTATATGCAAATGTTGAGGGTGTAACTATCAGTGATCCCGACTGTAACGTCACAGTCGGTGTTATGTTCTGATTCACCTATTTTTCAGTGGTCTTTTGCATGCGCGAGATTTACATAAGGAGGAAACAATGGTGTTTGAGACTCACGGTATGTCATTTTCACGTACAGAACTGTTATTATTCAACTATGCCAAGGTAAATACAGTTTTCCATTCTATGGCACCTTTAATGCAAGTAAGTCTCTTTAACTGGGGATGCACTGATACCACTTTTTCCAGAACGAGTTCAATACAGATACTTTTATTTTCGGTACTTTCCGATACCTATACCTGTCATTTTTTTTAAATATTGGGTACAGAAACCAAAACAAAATATTAATCATGTTAGCTGGCTTCATTTAGCAATTAGACATTTCCTTCAGTTATTTTCACACTTAATTATGCCCGCTAAAATGTATTGTACAAGATTTTGTTACTTTCACTGTTAATTTTATTGTTCTATGGTATTTCATCTTTAATTTAATAAAGCAATAAGCCCCAAGAAGCCATGGTTTACAGTGAATATATAACAGCTAAGGGGTGTTGTTAGGCACGACGCGAAGCGGAGTTCACAACTGTTCAAAACAGTTGTGGTTGCCAAGCAACACACAAAGTAAACAAATGTGTATGTTTGTAGAGTAATTTACAACAGCTTTGAATGCGCCTCAACCAATCCGAATCAAGGACCGGAACGATCCATTTTGTAATACACATTAGAGCTGCTCCATTGCTGTTTTCCTGTAATAATGCAGGGAACCATTCATTATACATAAATCTTGTAACAGCGATGAACTCATTTTCTGAATTTAACATTGTTTATCATCTGAAGTGTGCTGCGACTTATATTCCAAAACGACTCATATGCAATATGCAGTTAACGTCAAGCAAAAGATGCACAATGCGCGCACACATTTGTATAGGTGCAGAATGAGAGAGACACGTATAGTGCATTTCACACAGGCTGCTAGTTTCACTTTCGCTTTAAATGAAGTCCCATAGGCTTGACGTTAAAATAAATGTTATTTATAGTGAATGCCACAATAATTTTTGTTTGTTTTGTATTCACTTGTGTGTGCTAACTGCTAATGGAGGGAACGGCAATCAAGATCATGCAACAGAAGTGTGTGCGTGCTCTCTCTCGCTCCATACCGTCAAGTAACTTGTAACACTAGTAACTTGTACATTGCTTTTGACATATCCGACTGAACTACATACTTTCCACACGGGGAAATGGTTAGCGAGGCCTAATGGTTAGAGAGTCGAACTCGTAACTCAAAGGTTGTGGGTTCGAGTCTCGTACCGGCAGGGATTGTAGGTGGGGGGAAGGAATGTACAGTGCTCTATCCCACCTTCAATACCACGACTGAGGTGCCCTTGAGCAAGGCACCAAACCCCCAACTGCTCCCCGGGTGTCGCAGCAAAAAATAAAGGCTGCCCACTGCTCTGGGTGTGTGTTCACGGTGTGTGTGTGCACTTTGGATGGGATAAATGCAGAGCACTAATTCCGAGTATGGGTCACCATACTTGGCCACATGTCACGTCACTTTTCCAGTGATGTCTGTGAGAAAGGGATATTTGTTCGACAAGCTCATGCATCTGTGCCGCCGCACGCTCAATCCACTTTGCTTATCAGCTCGTGCACATCAGCCATACATGTTGAATGTTTAACATTATATTAATTACATGTACTTCATAGACATCCTTAATCCTTAGAAATTTCTAAACATAAAATATCTAAAAACAAATAAATTATTTGAGCTATGTGGCCAATCACAGACGTATCTGTTGATTTCTGGAACGCAATTGCCAATCAGAGGTGTTTAAGTTAGAATTCACTCACTACTCCAAACGCCTGAGTTCTTGAGTTCTGGAGCAGGACTGAAAAATCCATCCTGCGCAGGTCTCTAGTGGGCTATCAGTTTTTGGTATCGGAGCATTTTAATGAGTACGAGTAGGAGTCCAGGTGTGCGGTATAGGTGCATCGTGATTAGGGATGTAACGATTAACCACGTGCCGGTTGAAAATCGATTCAAATATGTTGACGATTCAAATCGGTTGAGAGCCTGTACTTAAGTTCAAAAGACATATTAGAATGATTTCTGAAGGATAATGTGACATTGAAGACTGGAGTAATAACTGCTGAAAATGTGGCTTTAATCACTGGAATTAATACGTAAAAATATCTAATCATAGAAAACAGTTATTTTTAGCTAGTAATATTTCACAGCATAACTGTACTGATATTGTACTGTGATCAAATTAATGCAGCCTTGGTGAGCATAAGAGACTTCTTTCAAAATCTTAATTATTCCAAACTTTTGACTGGCAGTGTATATATTTAAACTCCTGTCATTTTCTTTAACATAGAATAATACTTAAGCTTCGCTTCAAATAATGGAGTAGTGTTTATACAAAATGCCATCTTTCTGATTCTTCTATTCTTTTTTCTCTCCATTTTGTTTAATTAGAACGTTCGGGTGAAGACGGCGTCTCTGTGGTCTTTTGTCAACAGTGACACATCCTTGTATATAAACCCCTTCTACACTTCAGAATCCAGTCGTGTGCTTTACCCTGTTGCCAGCATGCGCCACCTAGAGCTTTGGGTGACTTATTACATCCGGTGGAACCCTCGCATACAACACCAGGTATCAACATACATTCACAGTCAGGTTGTGACTTCTGTAGCATTTTGTATGGTAATAAGCATTATTTAAGATGACTTTCTTAGGGGTGTGTGTGTGTGTGTGTGTGTGTGTGTGTGTGTGTGTGCACCTGATTCAGCGGTGCAGAAAATCCTCACTCTCCAGTTTAATTACGTCCTGACTGGCACTGCAGTGAACTGTCACTCAGAATGTCCTTATCACCACACACACACACACATGCATTCTGTTAAAGAGGTTTTTCAGGAGCCGCACCAGCATTGGCATAGATAACCATTTTACCACCTTAGTCATAACAAAGATTAATGCTGTTTACAATTTACATATTAAATGCTACAAAAAAAATAGACCAGTAAAAACATTCAAATGTAGTGAGTACAGTCCATAGTGCCACATTTGATTATTAAACTGGTCATTCTTATTATAATTATCCAGCAAGCCATAGATTAATACAAAATGTTTGTCCGAGAACTAGTATTCCAGCATCTTATGTGCATCACAAAACATTTTTATCATAAAAATGCAGATTTCCTTATTTGAAATCAAAGAGTGTTTTTGCTGCCCTCTGGTGGCTATTTGACACAGTTGTCACTTCACATGTGTGCATGTTTGTGTATATTTGTGCATATCAGCAACAGAGTCCAGTGGAGCAGCGCTATAAGGAGCTACTGGCGTTGAGGGATCAGTACCTGAAGAAACTGGAGGAACTGCAGCTCTCAGACTCCACCCACTTGACAAACAGCTCCACCCCCAACGCTGCCACGCCCAATCAGCACATCACACACTTACAGACACCTTTTTGATCCCACTCGCAAGCTGTTACAGACATTGGACATTTGTACATAGCAATAGTGATAATTATGGTAACACAATTAGTAGTCATGTCTGCGATAATGAGTAACAAAACAATTATGCAAAAAACCACAGTACGGCCTTCATCAAAAAAAAAAAAAGTTAAACGAAAAGAGAAGCCTTAAAGTGACAGTGCTGGGGTTTTTTTTTCATGCCGCATACCATAGAAGAAAGTGAGTCAGATTACGTGTGTGTATCCCAGACGCCACTTGGATACTGCTTGGGATGGTCTTGTGACGATTGAAAGCGATCAAGTCGGACGGACGTATGTGATTTAAGTGTTAAGTTATGTGTGTTGTTAGGGTTCTAAAGTGTAGATCTGAGTGAAGAACATTTTTGGATGTTGAGCACTAGTAAGATGGCATGTAAATGGTGTTTAGAGAGTGCTGGTCTTGTAAACTGTAATCTGCATGGTGTCCAGTTAATCCAGTATGAAGCAGGGTCCTCAACCTTTGGTAGAGAAATCATTTCATTAGTATACTTGGTTTAACTGCTTGGCAAACTCAAATGGCTGACCTCAGAAGGTAAAGGAAGCAGATATGTTGTCCTCCGTATGATATGGTAGGAAAATGTTCTGAAGCAATTAACATTAGCTTGTTGAACAGAACCAGGGTTTTTTTTTTTTAAGCGAGTAACGCGGATACCTTTTCGGTGCCTTGACTCATATCTGATGTTTTCAGGTGTATATTTTTTAGAGAAACGTGTTTTTTCTTTATGGCAGCATCAGCAGTAGAATAGAATGATTTCCATTCACTGTGCGTTTGAGCAACAGGTCGTTTCTTCTCCTGCTGAGGTCTGGAGTTGAACAAATTGAAGCCCTACATGCTAGTGGCTTTTGGTTATACCCTGTAAAACAATGTGCAGGTGCCACGGAAAGCAAATATTTTGTTTCTGATGGAGCTGACAGTATTGCTCCCAACGAGACGTAGCATGGTCTGCAAAGTCTTTTGGGTAGGATGGAGTGGCTGGGATATGAAGCGGTGTGATTGAGCTGTTCCAAATTCAGCCTTTTCCTGAGGAAGAGAGCGGTGACTGACACGGGGTGATAGAGGAGGGCTACGGTGAGCCATTGCTCATGCTGCCACGGAAAACTGAACTTCTAAAGACTTTGACCTCAATGAGGATATGAAGTTTAAACCATAGTGTGTGTGTGTGTGAAGAAGACAAACAAGTTCAATAAACAAACAAACCATTTGCGGTGGGATGTTTTTAGGGGGGAAAAGACAGAAATCTATTTTTTATTTTGTACAAGTACCAGAACGATGTAATTACCTCAAACAAAAACCTATTTTACTGTTGAAAGCTCTATTGTTGTAAAATATAATTATTTTATTCAGTGTAAAATTTGACCGTTTTATAAAAAGGAAAGTGATTAGAAATTTTTTTGGGTTGGTTTTGGTAGTTGTAGGTAGTTTGTTGGACATCCGCTTATAAGTATAATTTCTTTTCTTTTTTTTTAATGGGCATTTAGGTTTTGCTTTGTAACATTTTAAAGATCTGAAAATGATCTGATTCTGTAGGGAATTCTTTTGTTCTCAATCCCATTGCATGAGATTGAGTGAAGGAAAGCTGCACTCTGAATTTATTTTTTTTCTGACATTATCTTAAGTTAGACATAATAGTTTAGAGGGATCTATTTTTGTTTTGTATTCCCACATGTATCCTTTATTTGTTGGCCAGCTATTTTTCTGTACATAATGCTGATTAAATTAATTTAAAGAGTTCACAAGGAAAAGACTGTATGCTCATTATTGTACTTCTCAGACATTCTGATTGTATGACAGCGGGCTAATTAAAGGTTGCTTGCATTACTATTATATGCGGTACTACTTATAGCATATAAACCACCCAATGCAATTTCCTTTTTGTCTAGAATGACTGATCACCTTTAAAAAGATGTTATTCAAGACCTGCAAGCATGCATTGGCTGCAATGAAAATGCATACTCTAATCACAAAAATTGATTTACTGTCACAGTGATACGAAAACAGCATATATATAAAATTATTTCCAGACAATTTAATAAGCGCAAGCCTGATCTGTTTCCTTAGTTATATTAATGTGGTACATGCCTCAAGTTATCTATTACAATGTACTTTTTTATTGAAAACCAAAATACAGTAAAACCCGTTATATTTCGAAATATTACCATTTTAAATAACTTTTCTAGTTTGATGCATTTTCAAATGTAATTTATTTCTATTTTAAAATGTGTTGTTAAAGCTGAATTTCCAGCAGCCATCAGTCTTCAGTGGCACGTGATCCTTTAGAAATAATTCTAATATGCTGATTTGATGCTCAAAATATGTTTCATCTGTATCAATGTTGAAAACCGGTGTGCTGCTTACTTTCTTGTGGAATCTGTGATACATTTGTTTACATTATTCTTTGTTCAGTATAGCGGGCGTTTCAGAAGAACACCATTTATTTTAAAAAATATTAAGTATTCCAAATGTTTATGTTTAGCCATCAATTGTGGTGGGGAAAATTATTGTGTTTTGATCGACAGGTTGGGAAGAAGATAGATTTCAGGGTAAGGGGGATGGAAGTGGGGTGTTTGTCAGTTTGCTTTAAAAGAACCAACGCTTTGACCTGTTTTGAGCTGTGAATTAGAAATTATGCATAACACTACAAATATATAACTACTGTTTGTGCACACTTAGTCTGCTTTCTTTGTGTGTGTGTTCAGTTTGGTATTTTGCACACTGTCTTTTTGTTATGTGTTTGTCTTCTGTTCATATGCCCTTCTTTATGCTTTATCGAGGTGTTACAGGATGAATCTGATGAAGACATTTCTTGTCATATTTTATCACATTCAAAATATTTAAAAAAAACGGGAAACTAATTTGCATAAAAATGAAGCCTGTTTTTAAAATACAATTGTTGCTGTCTGCTGTATTTTCAGACAAATTCTTTTCTTATGTAAATCTGTTTTCACAGAAATGAAATGTAAGATTAATTTACATTTTTAAACACGTTATATGCACATTTTTAGAAAATTGTGCTGCTCACAGAAATCTCCAGTTCATTGCTCTGGGAAATTCTGTAGCAACATTGATAAATATGATAAATGCATGCTTAATATTTTTGCATATTATTTTCAGGATTCTTTAAAAAAAATAGAAAGTTCAGAGGAACACCATTTATTTGAAATAGGATTTCTTTTTTGTAACGATGTAAACATCTTACTGTCACTTTTAGTCAGTTTAATGCATTCTTGATGAATAAAAGTATTAATTACATTTTTTTTTTTAAGTTTTGAACAACTTACTGACCCAACACTTTAAAAATGTAGTGTGTGTATACTTAATATTGTTCTTTACAATTTAGTAATAGTATATAATTATATATATATATATAATTAATATAATAGTATGTAATTATTAACGCATTAAATGAATGAGAATTAGATTTTTTACGTAGATAGTAGGTAGTAGATAATATTAATGGTCCTAAAAATAGACTTCATTTTTTTCCATGCGAAATGTAAATTTTTTTTCTTCTGATTTTGGGGTAAAATATGACTTGGACATTTCTTGACATTCAGTCTAATGTGTGTTAAATCTGCGTGCCTTTGTGCCTACATGTTCATGAAGGTGTGTGTGTTTGTAACTCATTTTTGTCTGATGTCTGTGTGTGATCTCCAGGTTTCCAGGAGGCCAAACTTGAGGGTAAGGCTAAAGATCAAGAATCTGTATTGAAACGCGTCAGAGGCATCAAAAGCATCATTTGAATTATTTAGTTGCCATTAGCTCAGATCTGCTAGTGAAGTAGTGATGGCTGAGCAGCTGTATGTTTTTCGCTTTCTCTCTTCCTCCTTAAATCACACTGTGTGAGGATCTGACCTATCAGCCCCAAAGAGCAACTATGATCTTTGTTGCATTCTCTCTCTTTCTCTTTCCAAAACAAACATTTAAACCACAGGAACTTTTTAACAAAGATTTTCTTTCTCCTCTTTTTCCTTTCTTTCTTTCTTTCACATAATCTGTATTCTTCCGCGTCCGATGCTCAGTCTCAGGACTCTGATGAAGATGACTATGAACTGCCGTCTCACACTACGGCAAGTTTCTCTTGCTTCAACACTACTTGCTTACTCTAACTTTCCTCGGTCTCTCCTCTGTTTCCATTCACTCAATTATTTTACTGCTGTCAAGCTCTTTGTCAAGCCTTTACATCAGCCCAGACTTTATGGTAGCAGCTATATTATTATGAGAAAACTTTTCAAAACTTTTACTTTTCAAAAGTTTGAGGTCAGAAAAAAATGTATACTTTTATTCAGCAAGGATGCATTAAATTGATGACAATTTTTGTAACAATGCAAATATCTTTACTATTTCAAATAAATACTGTTTCAAAAAATCATGGTTTCCACAAGCATAGCCAATTTAACTGTGGTAATGATTTTTCTTGAGCACTAAATCAGCATATCATAATGATTTCTGAAGGATCATGTGAATACTGGAGTAATGATGCTGAAAATTCAACACTGCCATCACAGGAAGGAGCTACATTTCGAATATATATTAATATAGTTTTTAAAAATATTAATCCTTTTTCACAATATTACTATTTTACAGTATTTTTGATCAGATAAACCTTGGTGAGCTTAAGAGACTTTCAAAATCATTTTTAAAAATCTTACCGCCCCAAACTTTTGAACGGTAGTGTATGAACAAGATATTAGCAGAATAAAGTAACTGCTGTGTGAGTTTTGAGAGGTTTTGTCTTTTTACCCTGTAGCAGGTTTTCAAGGATGTACGAAGGCAGGCGCCCATGGATGAAGTCCCACTGGTCCCTGGAGAGACCATCAAAACCACTGGTATGTCGGACCATTCGTGGTGACACTTGTTTCCTGTTTCTGCTTGTATCGTGGTGTTGGGTAACATTTGTTATCTTCTGTCCCTGCAGTTAAAGATGTGATGTATATCTGTCCTTTCACTGGAGCTGTGACCGGCACACTCACAGTCACAGACTACAAACTCTATTTTGTCAGTCTAGAACGGGTACGGAGAAAAAAACTGTTTTTTATTCTCTTTGTCTATGTCAAGATCAACATAGTGTCTTGATATTGAGTTATATGCCCCAAATGATGAAATTAAACATTAAAGTTAAATAGATGTCTTATTCCATCCATCTCTGCAGGACGCTCCTTTCATATTGGATGTGAACCTGGGTGTCATCAGCAGGCTGGAGACTATCAGTGTACAGAGTCTTGGGGAGAATACTAGTGGCATGGAGATCGTCTGTAAGGTCAGATGCACCACCTTCCACCCATAGTAAACATCCACCTTCAACAATAGAGCTCAGTGTCAGTGTTTGGATTAAACACAGGGACTGTCTACAGGGGTTGTGAAAATCTTACTGACTCCAAACTTTTCAATGGTAAAGTACAAAAACATTTATTCAAAATATGTGACCCTGGACCACAAAACCAGGGTACATTTTTCGAAATTGAGATTTATACATCATCTGAAAGCTGAATAAATAAGCTTTCCATTGATGTAGGGTTTGTTAGGATAGGACAATATTTTGGCCAAGATACAACTATTTGAAAATCTGGAATCTGAGGGTGCAAAAAAAAATCAAAATATTGAGAAAATCGCCTTTAAAGTTGTCTAAATGAAGTTGTAAAGCCCCGTTCACACCAAGAACGATAACTATAAAGATAACGATATTAGCGTCCACACCAGCGAACAATATCGTCAGTTTATTCTAAGCGCACATGCGTCTGCCGCTTTAAATTCTTGAGCTCGTTACAGCAGGATGGATTCTGATTGGCTGTCAGTGTTTTATCGTTCATCAGCTGGAAAAAAATCGTTTTGAAAGTGATCACAACGATATTGTTCCTCTGTATCGTTATCGTTATAGTTGTGGTGTGAACTATGCTATTCTTTAATATTGAGAACGATTTTTAGAACTATATCGTTATCTTTATAGTTATCGTGCTTGGTGTGAACGGGCCTGTAGCCATGCATATTACTAATCAAAAATTAAGTTTTGATATATTTACGGTAGGAAATTTACAAAATATCTTCATGGAACATGATCTTTACTTAATGTCCTAATGATTTTTGGCATAAAAGAAAAATCAATAATTTTGGCCCATACAATATATTTTTGGCTATTGCTACATTGGTCACATGTTTATTTTATTTTAAATTATTTATATTTTTTATATTGAATGATAATCATTATTATAAACATCATACTCCAGAATACAAGGTAAATAAAGCAAATCAATATTTACATCAGTATTTTAGGGAACATAATGAATAAAAAAAATTGCTGTGGTTTTTATTAGTCTTGTGTTTCAAATTGTTGTCTGAAGCATGAAATATGAATCTTATTAAAGAAAAATAGATCTGACACAATTTAGTTTCATTTCAAAAGTAAAAAACTGCAATCAGTCCATACCAATGTTTTGTGATTTGTCTCAATAGGACATGAGGAGTCCAAGGTTTGCTTATAAAAAGGAAGAACAGAGTAACCTGGAGATTTTGGAGGTGTTGACCAAGTATGCCTTCCCCCTGTCCAATGAGCTGGTATGACATAACTCCTGTCAGAGCAGTGATTGGCTACTGGATCTGTCAGTAATTACTTGAGTGCAGTTGTTTCATTTCTCCACAATCCGATTGTTCCTTTTACTTTTGCAGTCTTTATTCACTTTCCAATACAAAGAGCAGTTTCCAGAGGATGGATGGAAGGTTTATGATCCAGTGGCAGAGTATAAAAGAATGGTGAGACGTGCTGCCCATCACTGGAAAAGAATAGACTTGTCTGACTGAATTCATCCTTTATATAGTTCTCTTTTCTCTCTCCACACTGTCTGCAGGGTTTGCCAAATGAGAGCTGGACCATCAGTAAGATCAACAGTAATTATGAAGTGTGTGACACTTACCCTGCTCTGCTCGTCACCCCATCCAGTATTAAGGAGGATGAGATCAAACGAGTGGCCTCTTTCAGAGTGAAACACCGTATACCGGTAAGTGAGGGTGTGTGTCCGTGCAACATTACTTTACATATCATCTTTTTTCCACCTAATATTTGATTTTACACATTGCATTCTAGGGTTGTCAGCATTTCACATTAGTTACACATTCAACAACATAGTCCTCAGAGAAAGTGAATACAGACACTATTGTTTGAAAGGAGTTGTTTTTAAAAAAAAAAATTTATACTTCATGACATTTAAAAACAGTAAAGGTGAATTTTCTAATTCAAAATAAATGCTGCTCTCTTGAACTTTCTATTCATCACAAAAATTGGAAATATTATTGAGCACAAACACCGTATACCGGTAAGTGAGGGTGTGTGTCCGTGCAACATTACTTTACATATCATCTTTTTTCCACCTAATATTTGATTTTACACATTGCATTCTAGGGTTGTCAGCATTTCACATTAGTTACACATTCAACAACATAGTCCTCAGAGAAAGTGAATACAGACACTATTGTTTGAAAGGAGTTGTTTTTAAAAAAAAAATTTATACTTCATGACATTTAAAAACAGTAAAGGTGAATTTTCTAATTCAAAATAAATGCTGCTCTCTTGAACTTTCTATTCATCACAAAAATTGGAAATATTATTGAGCACAAAATCAGCATATTAGAATGGTTTCTGAATGATCATGTGACACTGAAGACTGGAGTAATGAAGCTTCCCCATCTTAGGAATAACTTACATTTTAACATTTCTAAAAAATACAAAACAAATAGAAAACTCTATTGCAAAAACTCTCACTGCAGTGTCTGCATAGACTCTATGATGACATGTGGGGCATTTTTCTTCACTTTTGGTGGCATTTTTTGCCTGAGCCCTGTTTAATTTCCAATATTGTTCTATACTAATACCAGTTAAATTTTCCCAGTAATTATTGAAGTAGTCAGGGGTAAAATAAAGAAAAAAATGCTAATCACAGCCCCCCCCCCCCAATGTAGTAATGTGTAAAAAAAACAACGTAGAAATAAATGAAGTGAACATGTGAGCATTCAAAAGCTGTCTGGACTCCTGTGCCTCATTTTCTCTTAGGTCCTCTCATGGATCCATCCAGAAACTCAGGCCACTATAGTTCGCTGTAGTCAGCCCATGGTGGGCCCGACAGACCGCCGATGTAAGGAGGATGAGCATTACCTCCAGACCATCATGGATGCCAATGCACAGTCCCATAAACTCACCATATTTGATGCTCGACAGAGCATGGTGGCTGATAATCACAAGGTAATAGTGATTTCCTTCACTGATGTTTTTTCAGTTCAGTTCAGTTCATCAATGTTGCAGAGTAAAAATAACATGCTGCTAGGGCTGGCCGATATAGCTAAAAAATGTATCACGATATAATGTTTCATATCGTTCAGTATCGATAATTATTGAAACATTTTTATAACCTTTCTTAAACAGAGCAGTAGAAAATATGTTTAAATTTAACCACTGTTTTTTTAATTTACCCAATTTATTAAGACAAACAACAACTTATTTTAGTCTTAGCAAACAAAATAACAAAATAAAATGTAAACAAATATCTCCTTTCTTATATTTTATATGCAGATTAAATAAGTGTTAAAGGAAACTTTTGGCCTGTCTCCTGAGGCCACAGGAGGGCGCAATGAGCAAAATAAAGCACCTCATTAAATTGTTTATTCAATGCAATGAAATAATGACTGTATATTAAAAAAAGTGCAAACTAATATTCATCTAAACTAATATTTATAAATCAAATATCATTTCGTAAATTGCATAATTATGAACAGAACAGCATCATGTATTTATGCATAGCTTAATACAAATAGCCAAAGCACCGATCACACAATTGCGTGTAAAAACATGAGACGCAGTGGAATGGAATAAAACCCCCACAAATTATCGAGATATGTTTTCTAAAAGTTGAACCTCCTTTAACTTTACATGGCTTTCTATTCATCTCTTGTGCGAGACGTGAGTGCAACAGTCATAGTTATGCGTCTCAAGAACGGGCCGATTATGTGTTCTGTGTGAATGGCTTGGTTTTGGTTTTAACCTAAACAATATCTTCTTCGCATTGAGCTTCTATATTTCTCTAATATTTTGAATGAAAAATGCAGCAGCGACGCATCTTGTGGGTTCAACAAAAACATTAAAATGCAACAACGACACTTGCATCATCCTCACCGCATCTCGTGCGCCACTGATAAGGCTCCCTGACGCACACCTAAAATTCAAATACACCGTTTTTGCATTCGAATGCAAATTTTATTTTAAATTCGACTAATATTCCTTTTTTGATTCACAGTCTCCTCATCGCAGGCAGGCACGGTGTCCTGACATTTTATCCTACCCGTCAGATTCTCTGTTGGCTGCCTGCTTATCACTCATAACACGTGCCTTTAAATGAAAAAAGCGTGAAACTATCGTGCAATATAGCGAACATTTTTCTTTGATGGTGTACCGTCGATAAATATCGATACCGTTTTATCCCCCAGGCCTACGTGCTGCTAAGTATTTTTGAGGGAAAATGTAGGGAAAAGATTTGTATGCCTCTCTCACACAATGCACACACGCTCATGTTGTTTTGCGCAAATGTAGTTTTAAATTATTGAGTAGCCATCTGTGCTAATGTATATCTGAAGGTCCTGTCAGGAGATAAAAATGGAAGCCAAGAATCTTCTCTAACTATTTTCTGCTGTTTCATGCCTCAGGCTAAGGATGGAGGTTATGAGAATGAGAATTTCTACCCCAACATGGAGCTGAATTTCCTGGAGATCCTAAACATCCATGTTATGAGAGAGTCTCTGCGTAAGCTGAAGGAGGTGGTCTACCCTACCATGGACGAACCCCACTGGCATTCCGCTATAGATGCCACACACTGGCTGGAGTACATACGAGTAAACACCAACTCTAATCTTTATTCCTACAATATGAATTAATAGTGGACATTCTTGTTCTCCTACTCGCCTTTATAAGCATATGTTTGAAACCTCTACGTGAGTATATGATTTAGTCATAAACAGAGTGGCTGCAAAAAGCATTTAGCCACTCTTAGAAATATATGAATTTCAATGTTAGAAAACATCAATTGGCATTAGCAAAGAAAATATGCCAGACTTTTTCTAAGAACTAAGAAATTTCCTTTGATGAGCCCTTTTTACCAGCTTGTCCCAAGAAACAGGATTTAGTGGATGTAGTCAGTTCCCCATAAGTCTGAATCAGAAAGTAAAGCCAGGTGCACACTTTTATAATTGTTGCTTGTCAGACTGTACGCACATGATCCCAGCTATAAACCGTGTCACATTTGGGGATCTCAGCTGTCATTAATGTCAGACTGTACAATGTTCAAGACTCACTAAAACAGAGTTTTACATCATCAATCCGTGACGCGTTCTGTGATGGTGAGCCGCATTCACACATGGAATTTAAATGGTGACAGTCAAACAAAAGCAGTCTAGCTTTAATTTTGATCATGGCTTGCCTTGAATTAAAAAAAAAAAGATATGTGTGGAGTAAGTGCTAGTTTGTTGTTGCATTAATAAGGTCATCAGGTTCAATTTCATCTTAATGGTCATCGGCTGTCGGTGAACATGTCAAACTAGCGATCGAGTTGCGAGATTTGTCTCAGATGGCCGAATCATGGCATACAGTGTGCACACAGTTTAAGACGATTAGATGCTTTTAAAGGAGTCAACTCTCTCTCTCTTTCCAGCTTTTGCTTGCTGGTGCGGTGAAGATTGCAGATAAGGTTGAGTCGAGTAAGAGCTCTGTGGTAGTGCACTGCAGTGATGGCTGGGACCGCACAGCTCAGCTCACCTCTCTGGCCATGCTGATGCTGGATTCATACTACAGGACTCTCAGGGGCTTCCAGGTGCTGCTGGAGAAGGAATGGATCAGCTTCGGACACAAGTTTGCTGCGGTGAGGGAACCTGAGTGTGAAAGAGACTCTATATGGGGTATAAAACTGAATTCAGCCGGTCAGGCAGGCATGTTATTGAATGTTATCAGTGTTGAAAATTGTTTTGCTACTTAAAGGGTTAGTTCACCCAAAAATGAAAATTCTGTCATTAATTACTCACCCTCATGTTGTTCCAAATCCGTAAGACCTTCGTTCATCTTCGGAACACAATTTAAGATATTTTTGATGAAATGACGTCATTACGCCGGATCTGGGTCAGCGCCGCCACACACTCGCGTCATGGTACTGTCATGAACGCGCATCCACAAGTGACGCAGTAGAGACGAAAATGTGGAATAAAGTAGTTACTTTTGTTTTCTTTGCTCAAAAAAGTATTCTCGTAGCTTCGTAACTTTACAGTTGAACCACTGATGTCACACGGACTACTTTGTCTATCATCTTGGTTTTTTTCTCGACCTTGAACGTGGTAGTTACCTTGCTGTCTATGGGAGGGTCAGAGAGCCCTCAGATTTCATCAAAAATATCTTAAATTGTGTTCCAAAGATGAACGAAGGTCTTACGGGTTTGGAACAACACGAGGGTGAGTAATTACTGACAGAATTTAAATTTTTGTGTGAACTAACCCTTTAATATTTTGTTTCAGGATTCTTTGAAAGTTCAGAAGAACAGCATTTATGTGAAATAGAAATATTTTGTACAATTATAAATGCATTTATTGTCGTTTGAACGATTTAATGTGTCGTTGCTGAATGGAAGTGTTAATTTCTTTAAAAAAAAATCTCTTTCTTTCATAGCGTGTTGGTCATGGAGATGAAAATCATGCAAACTCTGAGCGCTCACCTCTATTTGTGCAGTTCATAGACTGTGTTTGGCAAATGATGAGACAGGTGAGCTGCACCTTTTTTGCTATCTAAGCACTAACATTTTCATTTATGGTAAAATGTATATTTATAATGAAATGTTGTTTAAAGGGGTGGTTCATTGCGATTTCACTTTTTTAACGTTAGTTAGTGTCTAATGTTGCTGTTTGAGCATAAACAATATCTGCAAAGTTACAAAGCTGAAAGTTCAACGCAAACGGAGATATAATTTCTTTAAAAATTCTGGCAGTTTAATGCCTACAAAAACGGCTGGTAGGGACTACAACAATTTGCTTCCCGGGTTCGTGACATCACAAACCCAGATAAACCCCGCCCTTGGGAAAAGGCAGCAAATGGGGCGAGGCCATGTTGCACTGCTTTAGAGAAGAGGAAGAGAAAACTAGAGGTGCACGTAAAAATCTATTCACATATGAATCGCGATTCTGTCTTCTAAGGATTCTAATGGATTCACAAGTTTCAAAATCAATGTTCTAAACAGCGGTTCTTAATACTGTTCCTCGCATACCCCTGCTCCGCACACGCTCTGCATCTCTCTCTCTCTCTCTCTCTCTCATTCAGCTCACCTCCAACAATGAAGTGTTACAATTATAATCAGAAGGCGAATTCATCGATACTAAACATGGTCGGATTACATATAGGCAAGATGACAGGAATGGGTTCCATCATAAGCATGCATAAAATAGTCTAAAATATCAAAGACAACATACACAATGACCTGAAGGATATGTGTGTTCATTCAAAGAAAGGTTTTCCTATGAATTAATTAGTAGAAAAGTCAATTTCTACTGTGCATTGTGCCTCTTGCTATGGAACATGCAGTGATTTTCCCTGCTTCGCATTCCTTTAGGCAATAAACCCAGTGATATCAGCGTTGGTTGCCATGGAACCAGAGGCCTGTTCTGCCCTCCTGAGGTGTTACGCATTTCGGGGGAAGGGTCCATAGGTCCTCATATGGCTTGTTAACTGAGGGGGGTTACAGAGTATTTGTTAAATATAGCTAACAAAATATATATTGTGTGTTTGATTGGTCCAGACGCTACACATTCTTGCACAGGTTCTGCACGATCCTCTTCAATAATATCCTCTGCTTCTCAATCGGGCTCAAACTGATAAGCGATATTAACAATGCAGTTGTTTACAATACAACCGGAGCACATGCCGCCGAGGTGAGGGGCGGGACGTTTAGAGGCGGTTTTAGGCCAATCACAACAAACTGGGCTAGCTAACCAATCAGAGCCCATCGCCTATTTCTGAGGGAGGGGCTTCATAAAAGCAGCAAATGATCAACCCGTTTCTCAGAGAAGGGACAGAGCTGTGTGGAATAAGGGTAAATTAAGTGAAAAATAATGTGTTTTTTAAAAAACGAAGCATCAACACATGTTAGACTCCCATAAACACAATCAAGCCTAGAAAATACACAGTGAACCACCCCTTTAAATTGTTATGTTTGTGTTTTATCATTGAGCCTCATTAAATGGATACTGATGTTTTGGAACTTGCTATGAATGTCTTTATAATGTGTTCTCAGTTTCCCACTGCCTTTGAGTTTAATGAGCTCTTCCTCATCACCATCCTGGATCACCTCTACAGCTGCCTGTTTGGTACATTCCTTTACAACAGTGAACAAGAGCGAGTGGAAAAGGCATGTACCACTGTGTCAACCCTGGGATGGATTAGTAGTAGTTTTGATGGACCAATGCTGAAATTTTCAAATCTTTCCTTCTGTTTTTAGGAAGTGAACAGTAAAACAGTGTCTTTGTGGTCCTACATCAATAGCCAGCCAGAGGACTTCACCAGCCCCTTCTATGTAAACTATGAAAACCATGTTCTGTACCCTCTGGCCAGTCTCAGACATTTGGAGCTCTGGGTTGGATACTACGTACGCTGGAACCCCCGCATGAGACCACAGGTGCACAATGTTCTCAACACATGAGCAAAGCTTAAACAAATGCATGTAAACAATTAGTAGAATCACATGATTGCTAGTTTACTAAAACTAGAGCTTTTCTTACAGACACCAGCTCTCTGAGGAGACTGAAATGTGGTTTGTGTATTCTCTTTTGATCAGATGCCTGTGCATCAGAACCTGAAGGAGCTGCTGTATCTGCGTGCAGAGCTACAGAGGAAGGTGGAGGAGTTACAGAAAGAAGCATCTTCATCACGCTCGATCTCCTCTTCATCAGAGCATGCATATTCTCCATCACATGGCGGTATACCTCTACACACCTCTGTGTAAAGCACGTGCAATGCTCGCATTAGAGAATTCATCATTAACAGAAAGTGTAGAAGGAATCTGTAGGCTACAGTAAACATAGTAATGTGAAGTCTAAATCTATTGTTCGTTTCTCTCTGGATAATGCCTCAGGCAGGATATATGGAGGCCCAGCACATACACATGTGAAAACTAGCATGACCTCCCAAAAAGAGGACAGTCTCCCACACAATTCAGGTTCATTTTGGTCGTTTGGAAGTGCTCTCAGACTTCCTTCTGATCAAATAACCAGGAAAGCTTTTGATTGTGATTGAGGTTATGAAAAATAGGCCAGGATTTTAACTTGACTTGTAATTATTGACATACGTTTTAATAATTTATGATGTATGTAGTCAAAACAATATGAGCATCTTTTTGCATTTTAATCACAGCATTTCTGTGACATTGTGCTTTGTCTGTTGTTTTTGTGTAATAGTTTTTCTTCACTGCCTCAGCATTGCCTGCCTTTGTGCCAATACCAAGTTCAACCTTTTAACTTTTCACATCACTTTTAGTTCTTTATAAAATCTTACATGAGCATCTCGTTCCTCTACCTGTGATTTTACTAGATTCGTTTTTATATATAAGGAATGGGGATTTGAATATTGCTGTTGCGATACTGCCATTTTGGAACCACATACTGCATTTGTCTTTGTTTTTCTGTTGCACTTGTTAGTATGAAAGTGGAATTAGGTTTTAATGTGCACACCCTATTACTGCACTACTACTGTACTTTCATGTACTACTGAAATCTGTTTACACAAGGTAAATATGGACCATATATATCAAACCCATGTTTGATTAAACAAGTGCAAAGAAAAGTTATCGGTGAATCGCTCCCATGTTTATGTTGTTACTATTTAATTGTAATCATGGGTGTTTTGACTTTACAAATGGCCAACAGTTCAGATCATTTGAACAAGGGATGCCATATAATGTTTTGAAAAATAACAATTACATGTAATAATTATAATGCAATTTTTTTGGCTTTATTTTAGCTTTTGTGCAACCCTGGTTATTCTTTGTACATGCAAATTTTTTTACTTCTGTTAAAAAAATTGACTCCAGAAACTTGCAACCAGACTTGAAGAAAAATAAATAGGAAAGAAACAAAGACAAGATAAATAGTTTATTATTGGGTTTCTGTATGCTGATTTTTATTTTTTTTTACCACCAAGTATAACCAGTGAGATACAGAGTGAAATTAGAATATTAAAATGTCTAGAAGAGGATTGCCAGTTGATACCTGTGTAATTAATTGTGTTTTCATCACAGTCTGTATTTGAGTGAGCAGGCACTGATAAAAACTGTGAGGTTTAATTCTGAAAGTCAATATTTCTGAGGTTTATGTCAAAGCAGAATTTTAGTTCATTCAATGACAGATAAACCTATGGCTTTACAGTCTAATCTGTGGCAGTACCATGATGTAAGAACTAAACTGGCAGTGCAAATCAAGACATTTCAGAAACTTATCATCCCAATAACAAATTTCTCAAGTTCATAAATAAACCCAGTACACAAGAAAAACCTTTAATATCTACAGCTAGAATCCAAAACATGCATATCAGTACAGTTCGGCGCGTACACCCTTGTTTTGACAAAATTGCAACTATACTGGCCAAACGACACCAGAGAGCCCAGAGATCCTTACAAATGCAACATCCACCATACAAACTACTAGTGCCCAGAAATGTAGATGGTCAACTGAAGAAATTAGGGAGGTTTTAACAGATACATAATGCGCCCAGGCAATAAATCTGGAAGCAGTTCATCACAAACAGGCGATAATGTTGTCGAAAATGTTCAAGACACTTGTGAATTTCCACATTTGCCTTAACCGAGACTTGTATATTTCACTCAGCTGTTTCAAATTCATTCCACAGGATCACTAGACTCACACCAAAGTCAAAGAGCATGCAAAAAGGCAAAAACCATCACATTTCATCTTTGGTGTTCTTCATTTCTTACAAGTGTAGCACCAAAAAAGCTACATTGTTCTGGTAGCCAAAGCAGTAAAAAGAGTTACATTCAGCTAACATTCTCTTTGTTGGTTTTCACCCTAGATACTGTACAAAAGCCTTGGTAGGACGCGCCTTTAAGGGTAAGTACCAGGCAACATTCTGCGCCGATATGTCTCCGACATAGTTACCATTCACAAGATTGTAAATCTGCTTTATCTTGGGCATGCGAGTTAACAATATTTCAGATCAGTTCAAACTGCAATAGTGTTAAGGTGAGGTCACATTTACTGGCACTTTTTTGTGGTCGAAATTTCAATAAGAATCCATGTGATCAGGAATTTTGCGCGAGGGCAACATTTTTTTCGGATGCAGAATTCGCAGTTTATCACAAATTAACAGAAAGCTGGTTTAAAAGTGATCTGCGTGAGCAATCAGCCTTTGACGGTGGACATTTTTGGCCACAAAATTCGGTGAATGTGACCACACCTTTAAACTGGAACAACGTACATAACCTAGTACGTCTAGTTTGTAGACATTCAAGCGAGGCAGCCCTTCTAACGGTCGTGACTGTTAGTGCTGTGTTAGTAAACTAGCGTGTCTTCCCTAATGTTAGCGTGGTAAGGCATTGCGAAGGAAAGCACCATTGGCAAGGGCTTGGGTTATGGGGAAACAAAGGTGCACCTGAATTCACAGTGAAAAACAACAGCTACAGGAAAATCTGGAGCATCTCAACTGGGGCAGAGGATGGTAAGGACTGTGCTGCTCTTTAATCCGGTTTTGCTAACTCTACTTACTTCTAGATGGTGACCTTCCAAATCAGAAGAAATGAAGGGTCTAGTCAAGCTCTGTGGCACCAACGCAGGACCCTTGGCTAACGAAGAGGGAAAATTAGCAAAACAGGAAAGCAGCTAGGGACTCATGAAGGCAATAGCAAAACTAGCGAGGGTGTAACAGGTCTCTAAAAAGTCTGAAAGCTAAAGCTGAAACATGCTACAAACGATACAAACACTAAGCTAGGGCGCTTACTTCTAGATGGTGACCTTCCAAATCAGAAGAAATGAAGGGTCTAGTCAAGCTCTGTGGCACCAACGCAGGACCCTTGGCTAACGAAGAGGGAAAATTAGCAAAACAGGAAAGCAGCTAGGGACTCATGAAGGCAATAGCAAAACTAGCGAGGGTGTAACAGGTCTCTAAAAAGTCTGAATGCTAAAGCTGAAACATGCTACAAACGATACAAACACTAAGCTAGGGCGAAAAACGACTCCCCGTAATCCAAAAAGAGTGGGGGGCACAAACATTTATGTACATTTACTGCTACAAGTGTAAATAGAGATACACTGATACAACGGTTTGAGTACAAACTTGGAAACGGTATGCAATATACAAGCACATTAACCCCTTAAAACCCCACAAAAGGCAATGGATCAGAATTGGCGATACGAAGAGTTACTACACTGCTTAAGTATTGTGCTAACATGAAAACACAACTTCGGTTACGAGTTCCTTCACGCTAATGTATCTACTCATTCTGATCATGTCCAATCAAACTATTCCTCAAAAGAAGGAATCGCAACCACTGACATCCAACTAACACACACAAAAGCAGTCAACACGGCTTCTTCATCAACACGCGTCACATCTTCACAGTTATACCCATTTTAGTCATCGTTTCGTTTTTAAAAAAAGCAAATTAGAAGGAAGCAGCTGTTGGTTAGTTTTTGACTTCAGTAGTTCGTCGTTTTTCTCCCCTCAAAAAGACACTCTAGTAAAAAGTGATCTAAGACACAAAAACCTGCATATATGTGTAACAATCTTTTCACGTTGCTCTGAAAGCAAGGCAAATATATACAGATCATGTTAAAACAACAACAACATCCTTCAAGAATCCTTCATCTTTTTTTCAATTGCAGATTCCACAACAATGGATCTGTTAAGCCTGTCTTGCTGTAAAAACGTAAGGAAAACAGTCTTGACCTTTAAAAGCATATTTCTATGATTATCCAATCAGATGTTTTTGTAAACCTTGGATTAATCACTTGTATCACTGTTCATTAATATGCATTTGTGCACAATAGGAATGATGAGCTAAATTGACAAACAAAAAGACTAGCGCAGTATGTGTGGGACTCTTTGTATGGGCCTCTGTAAAAAGACCCAAGTGAGATTTCTTGGGTCTCAGCAGATTATGCTAAAATTCATTAATAGGTGTTTTCCAATTCATAGCAATATTATTGCAAACAGGCTTACTGCATTGTTGGATGTGAACAGTTAAAATAGAATTTAATTCAGAATGATTACTCTCTGTTTAAGGTTGATTTAAACCAGGGGTGTCCAAACTCGGTCCTGGAGGGCCGGTGTCCTGCAGAGTTTAGCTCCAACTTGCCTCAACACACCTGCCTTCAAGTTTCTAGTATGCCTAGTAAGAGCTTGATTAGCTGGTTTAGGTGTGTTTAATTGGGGTTGGAGCTAAACTCTTCAGGACACCGGCCCTCCAGGACCGAGTTTGGGCACCGCTGAATTAAACAGTCACATTGGTACTTCAAAAAGGGAGTTGTGGTGTAAATGTGCCATGAAATACAGTGGCATTCAAATGGGAGAACAATGATATAGAACTGTGCCCTCTTCAGTTTGGATGATGCATTTCAGATTACACCGCATTTTCCTCTGTTGGCGGCTCAGCGTTGGGAGGCTGGAGAAGAGTTTGTTGAACTGCAGTAGGGAGGAAAATAATGCAATTATTATTAATCATTCTATCAAGTGTATATATATATAAACAGATCACAACTTCAGGACTAAATTGAAGGTGCAGTAAGTGCAATTAAAGAAAGTAATTTTTTTTTGCGAATAGGGTACGTATACAATGGCATCTGTAAACGAAAACTTTTGCTTTTGCATCATGCTACATCCTCGCCAGAAAGTGATGATCTAAGGCCACAATTGTTTAGAAAAATGAACATAATGAATAAAAAACCACTGGCAAAAATAAAAGCTGTCTGCCTATGCAGTAGAAACAATTTTTTTTCTTTTTAAATCGGTGCTAGACGACTAGAAAAAAAAACACCCATAGTGCATTGGGCTCGATCAGAATATCTGTGAGCAGGGATACAAAAATGCGGAAGTATGGGCTGGCAGACTTTTGCTGACAAATAAACTCTGATATCTTGGTGCAAGTAACAAGGAAAAATAATACACATTGGTTATTACTTACACCACCAATATTGTAACAATACAAAGTTAAACATCTTTGAATTTAGCCTTTAAATATCACCCAAAAATGTTAAATGAAGACATTTGCCTCATAAATTCAACATAAACGGGGTTAATACCTTGTGGCTCCTGTGCAACTACAGCATCTGGGGCATCTGCTTTCACCATATCTGCATTTAGACTCTCTGTGGAGAGATAAAGAAATTGTGTGAAAAACACATGCCGCGTGGTACAATTACAAAGAAAATGTGTTTGTCTTTACGCTGTATGCTGAAGCACAACTTCTTCTTCTGGTAGGAGATGTAACCGCTCACTGCACCGGCCAGAGCCATAGCAACAGCGCTCACAATACCAGCGATAGTTCCAGTCTCAGCCATGGTGTCTATGAATGAACACATAGGCCACTATTTAAAGATTTAACTGGACCAAATTAGCAAATGCTATACAGAATTTTCTTCTAATAGCCCTAAATAGGCTACTACTTAACACAATCATACCGTGGTTGTCATCAGCATGATCCAAATCACTGCCACTATGTCCACCACTACTTCCACCTGTGGAAATATGAACACTTCAAATGACATTCCTACAGTTGGCCAATTATTGTTTATTTTATTTGACATGTCACACGATGTGAGGATCTGTCAGGCAGTTTCAGTTTGTCACCTTTGCCTTTGTCGGGTTTGTAGGCGTTATCATTGCCCACATCTGCAAGGTCTGCATCTGAGAATTCACTACCTGAGAAGTTGGAAAAGACCATTAGTCTGGGGAAAAGTACATGAAACGTACTCATGCATGGCCCAGGCTTGGGTTTACTAATCCTATCAGCTTTGAATCAGAGACCCAAGTGATCTAAAGAACTAAGGTGAAGCTTTTGTGACCCCAAAAGAGGAAAAGCCCAGTACTCCAACACTGCAGGAAACAGAAAGCTGAGCTGCCGACTAGGGCTGGGCCAAAAAATCGTTCGATTTAACATTGATTCTCAAGATGAATCGAACTTTTTCTGTGTTTATTTCCGCAAAAAGTTTCATATAATATACTTCCGGTTTTAAATTAATTAACGTGAATCCTATTATTACCAGTATTTTCCTCTAGATGGCGCTCTTGTTTACCTTACACTCTTGACTTGCAGCTCAACGCAAATAAAGAGCACGAGTGAACCAGTTCTCTCTTTCACTTTACTACAAATTACAGCATGAAATGTACACAAATAGACATCAAAAGGTATGGTGAGAAAGACAGTACAACTTACTGAAATGTATCATGTTTCAAGACGTCATTGGAAAGCCATTTAATATCCATAGCATGTTATTTAGCAAGAAGTAACTACTTTTGATAAATAAATGCACTATATTAATATTCATTATATTTTACTTAACCCATTCCTGATGTCGCAATTATGCAATGGACATTTGAATAAATCTGTCATGAAAAACGTTTTCATGACAAAAGCCACCGTTTTAATGATTATATATCGATAACCAAATTAGAAAGCAGAGACATCCCTTGTTTGTTTTTTTCAACGCAAATAAAAACTGATGACGATTATTTGTTTTTTATTATTATTATATCTAAAAATAAATAGCAATTTAATTTAATCTCTCTTGTTAAATATAATAGTAAAGTACCAGGTAAAGGGTTCCCTGTATATTTCACAGAGATCTTTTTTTTCCTTAAGAAAAACTGAAATGTACTTATAGATTTCAAATATTTTAAATATTGCCATAGACATTAAATATTTCTAAATGAACAAATATTGAGTTAAATTGAGCTCGTAATTGAATGTTATTCAATCGAGAGGTTGTCAATCAGAATCAAATCATGAAATCTGTATCAATACCCAGCCCTACTGCTGCATACAATCTAGAGGAAGCAATGAAACTAGCAAAATCTGACTGATTAAACCAAAATCCATGCAAAGTTAAGATGCAAGAGATCAGGAGCCATGGTGATGATCACTAGGTTAATGCTTCAGTTCTCAAAAGCCTTGACCTGAACTCAGACAGCGATTAGATTTTAATAATGGTGAGATCAGCTTCGATTTGTGGGTACAAAGGGTGATTTTTCCAGCCAAGAAGATAAATAGAGGAAGAGGGTGGTAGAAGGGGTTTCCCAAGCTGTTACTCTGTTCCTTACCACCAGTTCCACCTCTGCTATTGGGTTTGCCTTCATCACGGCCCCCTCCTCCGAGGTCTTTATCTGGCAGGGACAGGAGATGCCATCAAACCTGGCTGGCTTGGATTAATCCACACTGACTAGCTTAAGTTTCCCAGTGATAGACTGTAAGGGCAATATTATTGACTTTATTGAGTGATTCCTTTGGCTATGCTTTTGATGACCTTCAAGATTACACAGGCTTTTACAGACAATGGACAAAATGGATAATGATGCTGCACAATATGTGATGTTTCAATAGGAAACAGAGGGCCCTGTTTTTTCTCTATATTTCAACTTCTGTGTTATATTGCATTATTTAATTTTCAGTTTTTCTTATATTAATGTTTCATATCTACTGTGTAATTCCTATGTATGGCTGCTTGCACTGTCTTGTATGCTTGTATCCTTGCACTGTCTGGACTTTCTTCTGTACTGGAAGCTCCTGTCGCCAAGACAAATTCCTTGTGTGTGTAAACATACTTGGCAATAAAGCTCTTTCTGACTTCTGACTGAACTACTAAATTGCAAAAAATGAAATATGGAGAAAGGTAAAAGTGGATAAACAGAACAATACCTACCGCCTTTGCCAGAGTCTTTGCCCTTTCCTCTGATGTCATTGTCGGGGCTCAAGGCATCTTCAAGATTCAAGTCCCCAAAATCTATCAGCCAAAAGAAACACTCACTGTGTAACAAATGAAATATGCACAGTACCAATTAGGGCTGGGCGATATGGCAAAAATCATATCTCTGTATTTTTTGGCTGAACTACGATCAATTTTCTACATTTTTCTATTTAGATTAAATATATATATATATATTTATTTACTTTTTTTTTTTTACATCCTGCCCTATGTTGTCCAATGAAACAATGTTTAAAGGCATTGAAAACAAATATAGTGAAAGAAACCATGTAGGCTATGCTATATATTATGTGCAAAAAAAATACACTTAGCTTACCTTTGGGTTTAAACTTCTACACATGGCACATTTATTGGCCAACTGCAAATATTTTAGTAAAATCTATACTGAAGTCTGTTAAGTTTAGCGGAGAATTGCATGCAGTAGGCTCGTGCACTCCTGACAGCAAAATGACTTTCTAACATTTACAGATGGAGAATACACCTGTGAAATGTAAGTTATGCACATCTCAATCACATTAAACAGTGCTAGTAGCATCTCTGTCAGCAGCACATGAGTCTGTCAGAGTATCTGACTGGATCGAGCCACTTTAAACCATATGTGTTAACTATATCTTACCAGTTATTTTAAAGCCCTTAATATAAAGCATCTCTCAGGACAAATTGGATTATGCACTTTCCCCGCAACAGCCTACTCTATGTCCTCTGCTATTATTCAGATGCGCTCGTATCCAACAACTACTGTATATCGATATAAACGGTATTTCCTCATACCATATCACTTATAAAAAATATATTGATACATCGTACAAACTCGATATACCGCCCAGCCCTAGTACCAATTGTTTTTTTGTAATATGGCTAAGTGACAATTCAAACAGATGGTTTCTGTGTAATATGAGATGTGAGCGTTTGAAACAAAACCCAGCTTTTAAATGCTTCAAATGTTCTGCAGTCAAGATAGAACACACACAATCTCACAAGACAAGATGACAATGAAGACAAATGTAAACGATGCCATCATAACGTGCTGTGATATTGGGGTATAAGACAAGCTGGATACGTTTAAGGACTTGAGTTGACATCCACCAGAAAATCTGTGCTATGACTTATTTTAGCTGCCATAATTCTCTTATCATTTACATCACTTGAGTACAAGCTAAAGCATGTTTTTTTTATTTGCTGTGAACTGTATGAAAGGTATACATTATATTAATAATATATCATTAGCGACTTTGCCTTCTGTTATGTATGAATATGGAAGGACATTCAGAGCATTATAAAAAATGACGCTAAACAATCCATGATCGCATTAATTACTAGACTCGATCAAAAGTGAAATCCAATCATTTTAGCCTTTCATCACACTTTTAAACTTGCTTTGAATACACATATCTGCATGCAAACAGACATGGAGACAAACGCGATGATCGGTTCTACAGGGAAACTGACAGCACGGTACAAACCAGACTGGGCTTTCCGAGGGGGAACAGAGGTTCGGAGAAGACTAGGGGGTGTTCGGAGCAACAGGCCTGGTCGAATGGTGGCGTCAAACAAATCAGTGAATGTCTCTTCTGTTAGTGGAGGTTAGTTAATATGTTAGTATTATAAAGCATTTTACATACAGAGGGTGCTGGGTATTCAAACCTATGATGAAGACTGATTAGTAAGCACCAAAATACAGGATAGTAAGTATTTGTGAGATTTTTCTTTTACATTCTTCAGTGTTCAATATAGGCAACTCCCCAACCTAAACCATACACAATGTTTTTTGACCATAGATAACTATATATGAGCTCTAAGAGCTTTCTATCAGGGTAAATATCCCGCTGACTCATCATAACACGAGACACAAAAACCATATGTTTTAGCATTCAAAGATGTTAATAGCTCCAGTGGTTATTGAAGAAGATTAGTAGGGAGATTTGCTTTATGTTCATCTCAAGCAGAACAAGCATCTGGGATACATTAAGTGCCTCTCACCTGTTTGTTTGGGCTTGTGCTTTGCTGGTTCCTTGACTGTGGGCTTAACAGGTTTAAGACTGGGTTTCACTGTTGAACAAATTAACATCATTTTTTCCAGATTATTTTAAATAAAGTATTAAATTCCTTTGACAGTTATTTTAAGTCAGCATTTGCTCTGCTTATTACAGTGCTATTAATGATTACCTTCACCTGCTCCTCCTGCACCACCTGTGCTATGAGATCAATACGTCATGTGACAGCAGTGAATCTATCTGATGTTTTTCCCCATTCACAACAGATACCTATGGGTTTAAATACAGTACATTAGTTAATATGTTTTAATTTTGGGTTTCATTGGTTATTCAGATGGCATGGTATTGATTGTTTACTGACAAATATAATTCAAATCAAACATTTCAAAACATGAGCCTAACACCTAAAACAGTGGTAAAACTATATGCTCATAAATATACAATGAGTTTTCAGGTAAGGGAGTGTAAACATGTATCTAATAACATATACAATTGCGGGGTGTGGCTGACAGGAAAAGAGGGAGGGGCAGTTTACCTCAGAACTGCAGACACTGGCATTCCTCATTCACACAGTGGTGGGTTAGGTAAGGGGATTTTTAGGGGATCTTCTGTGCTTCTAAACAGTATTCAAAGTAGTCTTTTTTTAGAAAAGGTTGTCATTCTTTTTATAAGCTTACTTGATTTTGCTCACACAAGCATGGAATCTTTTGACATTGTTCTCGTGTGTGCCTCACACCAACAGAGGGGGGACCGTTACACCCCCTGTCATAAAATGATGGTATCTTCCTATCTTCCGCAGTCTCCAAAAACTTCCAAACTCCTATGCTGTACCTGGGCGCATTGTGGCTTCGTATGCGCATGCGCTCTGACTCTTAAGCCTCCCAACCTAGGATACCTGTACCGTGCTAGGATGAGGAGACTATATGTGGAAATTATATTGTTCTGTGAACATATTTAATTTCAAGCACTACTGAACAGTATCATTTTGTTTTTATTTTTCAGCCCAGATATAAAACATGAGCTGTTTTTGCTGTACTTTGGATCAAATAAATGCAGGCTTGGTGAGCAGAAGAGACTTCTTTAAGAAACATTAAAAATCTTACTGTTCAATAACTTTTGACTGGTAGTGTAAATAAAATACAGTAAAAATGAGTTTTGTGGTGTTGTGTTTTTTTGACAGTAAAAGTTGACAAGTATATATACTTTAAAACTGAGAGTAGAAACTGGTACTTACATTATATCTGTGCTTTACTGTAAGACGATGAAACAAATGGAAATGGAAAGCGCCACAGTGACTCATCCATTCCGGTTATTGTGGTATGCTCACAGAAGATATATCCCATTTAAAATGAGTGCATAATCAAGATAATATGAGATCATATACAGTAGGCCCCCTTTTTCCATGCTTTCTTGTTTTGTTCTAGTTGCATTTTAGCACTTCCAGATCCATTGTCTTGTTTTTTTGAACAGGCGTTTGGGTAAATGTCTGAAATAAGGTCTGTTGTTAACACAACCTCAATATATTTTCATGTTTTATTCTGTAATGTACAATATATCAGTAATAGCCCCTTGTGTGTGTTTTTTTAAAGCTTTTACTTCTCTTGAAACTGGCAATTGCTAACAAGTGGTCAATGAGACTACAGGGGTTGTCGGGGACATTAAACGGCATCACCTTGAACGTCATCATAATTCAAACCTTAAGGGCATATGTTTTCTTAAATAAAGAACTATCGAAAGCTTAGTAATCGTGACGCTGAAGTCATGCAACTTCTACTTTGATGTGGCACATTCAGCATATTCACACAATTCACATTCACACAATTGGTGTGCCTATAGTGGCACACCAATTCTTACAAAACAGGATGCATATGTGCTGTAATTCATCTGCAAGTTTTGCATTGCATGTAATACCCGGAATACATTGTACGATTTTTTGGGCTGTCCCAAACAAAAGATGACCATTGTGAAACAATCGTTATGATTTCTTTCTTCATGGCTCCTAAACAGTGGTCCTATGTCGTACTGTGAGAGAGGTTCAAAGACAGCCGTTGCCATGGTCTTGCGGCCAAATATAGCATGCGATAATTTTCTAGCAGTGTCAGAAATCTAAGATGACCATCTCACAGTGTGTTTGCGGTTATGACCTATGCCTACTGACTAGCCAATAAAAATGCAACATGAAAGAACGTACTGATCAACTTCACATGGTGATAAAACATAAATGCTATGGCTGAAAGACCTATAAGGAATACCGGTATATGGGATTTCAATAACACCAACAATAACAGGCGGACAATAACAGGAATTTATTGTCCTCCTACGCCATCTCCTCTTCTTTTTTTCAGTATGCATGACATTTTATTCTCCTCCTGGGACCCAGGCATAGAATTTTGTCCTCTGTAGAGATATATATATTGAATTTATAAATGTGTATGTACATATACAGTATATATGTAGTATGTGTGTGTGGTTGTACATACACATATATGTAGTTGGTTTTTTGGTGTTTGGCTTAGTGTTATGTTAGAATCATTATTATACTCTTATACCTTTTGTTCTTTAATATTTTGAATTGTTTTTAGCTTTATTTTTTTAGTTTTTCATTTAAATGTTAAGTTTTGAAATGTATACATTTGTCACTTTTATTGAATCGCTTTATTTTTAAAATGTGTATAGGTAGTATTTATAAAGTTTTAGCTTTTAGTTTTGGATCTGTTTTTAGTTGTTTTAATACTACAATTGATTGCTTCTGTTGTCCTCATTTGTAAATCGCTTTGGATAAATGCGTCTAATAAATTACTAAAAAAATAAATGTAATAATGTAGTATATTAATGTAGTATAATATAAAACAAACTGGGACTATTGCTGTCTGCTACATCCTATAAAATATCCAAGCAAAAAAAGTACACATGGACCCTGCATGGTATATCATAACAGGCCAAGCTTCTACCTTGTACATCTGCAAATGCTTTGCCCTTTCAGTCTGTTTTAAGTGGTGGTAAATATGGAAATGTCTCACAGCGTACAGCTTAAATGCATACAAAATATGAAACCATCTATATCTATACCATCTGTCAGGAGCCTTCAGCTGATATGCCTGCAGTGTCCTGACATCTCTCAAACTGATATAAAACAGTGCTAGAATGTGTGAAATAAACAAAGACTCAAGAATATGTGTTAGCCCCTCACTTTTAGAACACATGATTATCAGCCTTGATACTTTAGACTAGTTGCAGTGCATTTATTGCAACTTTTTTTCTCTCATATTTATAATGAAATTATGATTATGTAATTACGAAGTACTTTTTTCCCTTACATATCTTACAAAAAGTCATTTGCCCAGTCCTTTGTATGTGGAAATCGTTACTACGGTAGCCTAGATGTTAAAGCACTAATAAAGTACAATAAAAAAAAAGAAAGGAATAAAAGAAAATACAACACCAAAAGAACGTGCGAGATTGGCAATCTGGTGTTTACTCCTTTGCAGGTTTACTAAGCATCCTCTAAATCCATGTTGACATATATTGGCTCTAACCTGAACATGGAAACTTGAGAAGAACTGAAGCCCAGAGTTTTTCGGTGCAAGTTCTCTAAGCATCCTCAAAAGTAAAGAGGCTGGGCAAACGCAAACCCACGACAGGACCAATCTGGAAGAGGAGTCGCTAGATGTGCATGTCGCGCTGCCCAATGGCGAGGAACGGAGGTTGTTTTGAATCGGCGAGACTGCCTTAGCCAATCAGGCCGGTCTCGTGTTGAGCTAGCGCGAGGCTGAGCGCATGGGGTTCAAAGCGGAGAGAGAAGGGAAGACAGTGGCGAGATTTCAATCAACTCAACAACACAGGTACGGAAAACGGTCGAATATTTAGCACAACACATTTCATTCATTTTATACACATTTATATATATTTTTTAAGTAAATGTGAAACTAACATTTATTCCCCTAAAACAGAATAAATATATGTTTTGTCATAAATTCGTTCATATGTGAGGGTCAAGAAGGAGTTTTGTATATTTGTAGTTTGTTTGCCAATCTTTGCGTTTTGTCTTTCTGAGAAATTACCTATTTCTAATAAATCACAGAAAAGTGAATAAAACTACATTGTAGTCTTTTACAGAGTAATTTTCAGATTTGCTGTTATCCGCACTAATCAGTTTTCCTTTCCTTTAACTGATCGATTAAAAGTTATTAAACTGATTTTTCCCCCGGACTGTATTGTCGCGCATCGCTGCTGAATATGGCTCGCTGTGCGCTGTCTATGAACCACCCTGCCTTCTATACAGACCGATTTTGATGACATCTTCACGTAATGGAATATTTTGTCCCCGATACCATTCGCTTATGCAATTATTCTTTGCTCTCTGTATTATTATGTGAAATATGAATCTGTATACGCGCTGAAAACATGTTATCGCATTTTTCCTTTTCCAACTTAAACAAGCGCGCTTGCCATGTATTAAAATGGCTGGCGATTGAGACCATTGACGAGCAGCTATTCCTTCACGCAGCAAGGACGGGATAATTTTAGACGGAAAACATGCATTTTAGATGCAAAACTGCCCGTTCCTTTCGTTTTCGCCCTGGAATGTCTATCTCTAACTCTGTGGATTAAAACAAAGACATTGCAGGGCGATTTAACATATTTTCCAGCTTGACAGTTGCGCTGGGTATACTCGCATAGGCAATGGCTGGCTGTAGTCTTTGTTAAGGCAGTACTGCGACAGCTAGAGCTCAACTTAGAAAAACAGTTAAACACGCCAAATTATGATCTGGCAGCCTTTTACAGTGATTTTAAACTAAAAGTACAACATTTGTTTTAGTTGATAAATATGTTTTTCTTTTAATTAAAGCCCTTGGATCACTAGAATCGTCATTTAAACCCGAGGGGGTGTGTGTTGCTTTGTTGCACGGTCAACCCATCTGTTTTGCTCGCTCTGCACAGAAGCCATTTTAACAGCAGCGCAAGGCAGAGCTTATACCAGTTACTATATATAACGGTCTCTATATGCTTGTAAACGGGCAGAACGCTGTAAAGCACACTTTTAAACCAAGAACAGTAATTGAGCTCAAAATAAAATATTAATAAGGTGAAAAAGATTTACAAAAATAAAGATCAGTTTCTGTCATGAGAATGCATTCATGTGAAGGATGTTGAATAATTCTAGATGATGACCTTTATTTTTTTAGTAGCCACTTTTATGGGCTGCCAGCACCAGCTTTACATGAGCACCCAAGTATAACCTATAAGACTGTGTATGAAGGTAATTCATGTCTGTGCAATAGAGTAGTCCAAAGTTTTACTAATAATAACAAACAATGAAAGGTGTACTGTTAATTGCTATCTAGCACAGTAGCCACAAAGAATATGGCGGTGGCACATTGTATTTCCCAAAATAAAACGCTGTGAACATCAATCAGTCTCATTAATAATCAGTTCACATCCCCCATGCAAGAAGGACGGGTCTGGAATTCCCTTTGTGTATCATCTTAGTCTGATAAGCCCTGCACCCTGCTGATGTTAGAGTTTGGAAAAACTCAGTTTGTGTTTTAAACAGTTTTTAATAGCCACACCTTACCAAATATGTAATATTATTATTTTCTGTTGTTTTATGCTCTTTATTTCCTATCATTTTAGATAAAAATACAGCACACAAGAATACTTTATTGGATATAGTCCCCTCTCATCTCACAAAAATGGCAAAAGGAGACCCCAGGAAGCCCAAGGGCAAGATGTCTTCTTATGCCTACTTCGTTCAGACATGCAGAGAGGAGCACAAGAAGAAGAGCCCTGAGATTCCAGTCAGCTTTTCAGAATTCTCCAAAAGATGCTCTGCAAGATGGAAGGTTAGATTTGAAATGAAATGTTCTAATATTATTATTTGACTCAAATGATTTAAATAAAGCAATGCAAAAGCACTTTCATATTCTCAATGGAAATTTCTCTTGATTTGTTGCCTAGGCAATGTCCGATAAAGAGAAATCCAGGTTTGATGACATGGCCAAACAGGATAAGGTGCGTTATGATCAAGAGATGATGCACTACATGCCTGGAGGCAAGAGAGGCAAAAAGAAGGATCCCAACGCACCCAAGAGACCATCGTGAGTAGACCTGACACCCATTGAATTACCGTGTTTTTTTTTTTTTTTTAATCTACATGCAGTTTTTATGAAGGCTATTTTGTTAATGCTGTATAGCAGACAGGTTTTCAAATGCTATCTCGTCTTATATTTAATTATTTATTATGTACAGGTTTTAACTGATAGATTTTTTTATGATTTTATTACTATTTTGTAATATTATATATATATATATATAAATATATAAATTTATCTTGCCACCTTTTATGATCAACAGCTCTGGATTTTTCCTGTTCTGCTCGGAACATCGTCCACAAATCAAGGCTCAGTATCCCGGCTTGGGCATCGGAGACGTGGCCAAAAAACTAGGCGAGATGTGGAACGGCCTCACAGATGCCACCAAACAGCCCTATCTGATGAAGGCCAACAAGCTGAAGGACAAGTACCAAAAGGCATGTCTCGGTCTAGATGCTTCAGTAGTCCACCATGTAACATATCACAGTTCTAGTATTTTACAATACAACAATATTTTCTTTTTGTGCAGGATGTTGCAGACTACAAGACGAAGGGCAAGGCTGGGGGGGTGTCCATGGGCATGGGAATGATGGGGAATGGTATGGCTTCAAAACCCGTGATGAAGAGCAATATGGATGATGAAGAAGATGATGATGAGGAGGAAGACGAAGAAGAGGATGATGATGAATATGATGATGAATAGACTGTCATTTTTGTGTGTTTGATCAATTTTGATTATAATAACTTTTTCTCCCCCATTGAAGTCCAGTAGATACGGAATACACAGGTGGTCTTTCATAGCCCCGTTGTTGTTTTAATAGAGGTGGAAAGTGTAGTGTGCTGTTGGTGAGAGACTTGCTAACACCGTTTCTTACTTCCAGCTTTGTGTGCGTGCAAGTGCATGTGCACATGTGAAGATCTCACTTCATCATGGTAGCCCAGTGTCTTCCTAGCCTATCTTTGTTACCTTTTACCAATTGTATAACAAACAGCCTTTAAACAAGTAATACCCTTCCTGTATATGTAAATCCCTGACCTATATATTTTTTTTTTTGTTTGTTTAAGAGGTTCCTGAGTGTGTAGCTTTGTATATGGTTGACATTGAGTAGATATTGTTTATGATCGTAGTATGTTGCATGTGGAAAGGTGTCATAGTTTGGAACTGTGCACCGACATCGGACATTTCATGCTGAAACCATCATTAGTTTCCTCTTCCTTGTCCAGTTTAGGAAAAAAAAAATGAGTGCAAAAGAGCAGTTGCCACCAGCACGTTAGTTAGTCCTGTTGCAGGGGTGTGCACTATATGTTGTTTACTATACTACATGATATATTGGCACATCCACGATCAATGTAGGAAAGATATTTGTATTATCTTTCCTATATATATTAACTGTTGTGTGATCTAGGAATGCACTATAGAAATACTGATTTGTGTAAAATGCTAATGTCAGGTCAAAATGTTACAGTATGGAGCAGAAACGAACTATTAGAACTCTTGAAATATGGCATAAAAAATACAAAGTTACCATTGTGAAAAAATGAGCCCTGATAATACCTACACAATGTAAAATGTCAGTACTGGCCAGTGTTGATATATTGTGCATCGCTAGTTTAATACTTATTTTTTTGTTGAATATAAAGTAAGAAACAATGCTGATGATAAGTCTGTACTTATCTGTATCTATGATTTTCATTTTATATGTTTGAGGTTTGCAATTAAATTGAAACATTTGTATTTGTGTTTTGTATGTCTGTATATAGACCAAGAATATAAGAGAGAAACCAGCATGAATGGACCTTGGTTAATGTGTTTAACTAAACAATAGCATATTGTATGCACAATATTTCTTGAAAAACTTACAAAAATAAGTGTAGGAATGATTTTGGCCACCTTCAGCCATAGATCCTGACTAAAGTCTTCAAGGTTGGAAAGTTATGATAGTGATGGCCCTTGTACCTAGTGATACTGAAATTGCAAAAGCGTTTGAAGCATATATATAATTCTTTCTTCAATATAAGCAATAGTTTTAATTAAATAGATATGCATCACTTAAATAATAGCCCCATCTGCATCATGGTTCACAAATGTTCTGTGTCTATGCTTAGACAAGGCACTCAAAAGTCCAGATTGGGGCAACCAGATCCTGTGTAATGAAAACCTTGTGGTCCACTATGGTCTTTAAATCTTCAAAAGAATCCTTGATTTTCAGTTGTTCACTGTAGGAACTCTTAAATTAATCTTATGCCTTATTTTCTAAATATGTAAACGCATTATTCATCAACTCGTAATCAACAGCAGCTGTGTTAAGATAGATTTTACAGGCATTTTCCTTTGGTGACATTTATATGTGGCTGTTGTTTAACTTTACGTCGCTAGATGGCGCAAGGCTATGTTTTATTCATAGACTAAAAGGTTTTATTGAACAAGTTTGCATGAGTTCAAGCTTGCGTTACATAATGCCATCATGGGAATTATTTCGATAATGACATTAGTGACATACCGAAATTAGATGGGAGTCATATGCAGTGCTAAGTGAACTCTATATTAGTTTGTCTGGGAGAAAATTAACTATCGTTTCAGTTTATCAGTCCTTCGTAGTCTGTTGCTCTCCTGTTATTCATGTCATTTGCCTCATCGTTATAATGATCTCCTTTCAGAGATAATATTTCAACGGTTGACATTTAGATGAAACTGCAAAAGTCTGCCAAATCCTGGCAATTATATTAAAACATAGTTTCTCCGTAAAACGCTGAACAGATTCTCGGATACGCCATACGTTGTACGTAAATATGTAAACGTTTTATTTTTTCCTCATACTGTACTAAGCAGCGCGCGTTCTTTCGAAACGACATTTCTGATTGGTAGCCCCAGGGCAAAGTGGGAGGGTTTCGTGACCCGCGAGATGACGTCAGACGTTTCTCCACATTTGATTGGCTACTCACGACGCCTATCAAACTCTGAGGCCAAAGCCCAGTTGCTGCTTGCTGTCTGAACTGAAGCGGCAGCGAGCGGAGTGGGGCGACAGGCTTCCGTCTCTGGGCTGCGGAAACTACCCAGCGAAAGCCAGCGAGAGTGGCAGTGATTGAGGAAAGGAGAACCGCTTTACTCGAAGTCTCGGTTCAGTTAAATATCCGTTACACTGCATCTTCCCCTCATTGAAGGGAAAGGCCTGCGGAGATGGGCGACAAGGCGGGGACCAGGTAAGCGGCAGGTTTCAGCTCAGGTTCAGGACTTCTTGGTTTGAAGTCACGATATCATATTCTCACAGCCCACCCTATGATGAGCAATCCCACCAAACCTCCGAGGCTGGAGGGATGGTGTGGGGAACCCTACTAGTTGATCTGAGTGAGGTTTAATCTGTAGCCTACAGGATATGCATCGGCACTCGAAGCAAACGCTCTTAAAAACATGATCACTGGACATCTTACGTATTTCACCCAGGGTGGGGTGAGTGACCATAAATCTACAGCCCAGCTCTGTTCTTGTACACCCATGCAATTGAAATCTCTTCGGAGTATGCGTAGGAGTGCGTTGTTTAGTTGCTTTAACGGCTGCTGTTATCAACTGCGATCTGATATTATCTTGTTTGTTTGAGGACCCAATTAGTTTTTTTGCAGCTAGACATATTTATTCGCTACAACAGCAAGCCCTTACTACGACGGGTTATTTTAATGCTGCATGCTGGTATACGAGCAGACGGTTTATTTTCTCTGTCGCACCCAGTGCGAGAAATTCCTGCTCATCACTGCACGCTCACTTCCTCAACTTTCAGAAAAGGCCTCGACGTTTCCTGTTGCAGAAAAGCACTGGGGTTTGATGCGCCTAAAATCTCATTTGAACACCTCTCCGAGCCTGTCTGTGCGGATTCGGCCCTATAGTCTCAGTGCAGATAGATAGTCGAGTCGTGGGCGACCATGTACGTGCGCCGAGTTTGATGAGTAGCCCAGCAGTTCTCTCAGTTGCGCCTTCAGTTCTGCTTACATGTCACGGCTCACACCATCATGAGAGGAAACCCACGGGCTTTCTGCCTCCTGTCTATCTGTAGGCTACATTTTGGGATTTAACAGAGGGTTGCATGTCGGGTTACCCTGTTTTAATGTTGGATTGACGTATGACACAGTTACATGCACAATACCTTCATGAGCTCCTTTTCACGTTCACATGTAATGTTAATTTTCTTAACCCAGTAAGCCTGACATTTGAAATAATCATTTTTTTTCTGAAATGGGATGTTTTTTGAATCCTTTTAAATTTTTATTATTATAATTTTTTTGCGGGGAGGGGGGTAAAAAAAAAAAGTAAAAAGTTTGCATAAAACATAAATACACATTTGGTACATCAGGCTTTTATGGCCCATATATGACATAGTGATAATATGGAGCTCACAGTCAAGGAGGAATAACACCTCAATTTTATTTAGAGGCCCAAACTGAGCAGAAAATATGCAATTTACTGCAGCTGTTGTTATTTATATGACCAAAGAGTAAGATTTTGGTAGCTTGTAATGTTTAATAGTATAACAGAATACCTGTAAAAATGCATATTAATATTAGTTGTCAATCTATATCTCCCATGTTCCACGTTTTCTCAATTTGTGGATAATGGCTCTGACCATGGTTCGCTGGAGTCCCAAAGCCTTAGAAATGGCTTTATAATCCTTTCCAGACTGATACATGTCAACTGTTTTGATTCTAATCTGTTCTTGAATTTCTTTAGATCGCGGCATAATGTGTTGCTCTTTAAGCATGCTTCACTTTGTCAGACAGTTTCTATTTAAGTGATTTCTTGATTCAACAGGTCTGGCAGTAATCAGGCCTGGGTGTGGCTAGTGAAATTTAACTCAGCTTTCTAAAATATTGTGGTTAATCATAGTTCCTTTCTTGATTTAACAGGAGGAAGCAATTAATTTGTCATGTAGGGCCAGGTAGGTTTGGAAAGCTTTTTTTCCGTTAATAAATGAAATTATCATTTAAAAACTGAATTTTTTTATTTACTTGCGTTATCTTTGTGTAATATTAAAATTTGTTTGATGATCTGAATCTTTTAAGTGTGACAAATATGCAAAAAATTAAAAAAAACAGGAAGGGGGCAAAAACCTTTTCACACCAGTGTATGTCTTATTAAGATTATATTTAAATGTTTAGTTTTATGTTCAAAGCTCTGTTTTAATGTGGGGGTGAAAACACAAGGTAATGCAATACAATGACAATTGAGCGAAGTACAAACAAATGTTCCTCGAAAGCCTGATGTATTGTATTTGATCCATACATTTTAACATGATGTTTCTTTAAAAAATGATGTATGGCTAATCAAGTAAACCTCGGTTGCTTTAGTGCAGTTAATGTTCATCCTAACATTAATATTACTAACAATACAAAAGTTTCTCTGACATTACTTCGTATAAATCATTAAATATTTCACAGCAAACAGACACATGTACCACAACCTGAAGGTGGACATTTTAAAAATATAAAGGCTTTTTACTTGCTAAAAAGTATGAACTATCAATCAGAGGGCAGAAGGCGTGTAGTAGATTTTCAGCCAAGTTTTGATGTTGGCACTTTATAGGCCTTAAAATATCATGCGGTAGGCTTTAAAGGGTTAAAGGGACAGTTCAATGTTGATGTTCAATGTTAATGTTGAACCCTTATGTTCTACCAAACCTGTATGACTTTCTTTCTTTAGTGAAACACAAAGGTGTTGTGGAGAATGAAAGCCTTGGTCACTATTCGCTTTCATTGTATGGAGAAAAGATGCACATGAGCGGTTACCAAGGCTGACAGTTCCTAGCATTTTGCCAAATGTCTCCTTTCTGTGTTCCACGGATGAAAGTAGGTCATAGGGGAATGACATGAGGGTAAAGGAAATGATGAAAAAATATACATTTTTGGAATATCACTTTAATCTCTGTTTCTCTTCTCAAGGCTTCGTTTTGCCACTGAAATGCAAAGTTTTGCTTTGAAAAGAGCTCGAAGGAGAGCAGTGATTGTTGCATGGTTATTGTATTGTAATAAGATTAAATAGCATTGCTTTTGTGCATGGAGAACAGTTGTTCATCGGCCCACTACAGAGCAAGCCATGCACAGCAAACTTAGCTCGTATTGATTGACACACATTCATAGCACTGCAAAGCTGTGAAAGAGGCATTTTATGTAGGTGTCATTGGTCCTTATGTGCATTCATATCAGCCTTGGGTAAATTAAAGCTCGCTGTCGCTCCATCATTTTTTTATTTATCATACTTGCTATTTATAAACATATTTTGCCACCTAAGACCTAATAGATATGGTCAACAGTATACCCCTGCCTGTTGCTGTGATTCATCTTCTCTTGTGGTTCACTCACTGGAGTTGATGTGGGGGTGTTGGTGGGTCTCGCAGGCTTAGTGATGTGTGGTGGTCTTATGAATATCCTCTCTGTGTGTGTGAATTTTTTAAATTTTTTTAAATCCAGTTTGAATTTATGTTCTAGTTCTGTTTGATGTATAACCTACACATTTTCCAGGTTAATAGAACATTTATTAACAAGAGGCCAATACTATGATATCTTTGTTTTTATATTGTATTAACAGAATTTCTGTTAAAATCAAGTCACATCAAAGTTTATTTTTAAACATTTTGCATTGCTTCAAAAAATAACTAACAGTATTGTAACTTTTTTTAATATCTTTAATTGATTGTCATAAACTTGTACATTATAATTATTAATAGTTATCTTATCTTCCTTTAGTCTCATTAGTCATCAAATCCTCTGTAAACACAATAAATATATTGATGTGACAGGCACGGCGTTGCAGCTTTCATTTGCTCACTAAAAATGGCTTACTCACGGATCATTTCATGTTTCAAGTAGGGTTGGGTATCGTTTGAGTTTTTTCCGATACTGGGGCCAAATCGATACTTTTAAAACGCTTCCGGTGCCTGAACCGATACTTATTAAAAAAATAAATAAAAATCCCCCCCCCAAAAATGATGGATTGGCCATTAAAATAGAAATAGAATGCAAATAGAATGAGAGTGCAAATGTTAGAGGGTCAAGTTTTTTAATAAAAAAAAACAAGCAGATTAAATTAGAAGTAGCATTAGAGTAGAGAGTGCTAAAGTTAGAGGGTCAAATGAAAATGAAGGATATGTGTTTTCAGCCGTTTCTTGAAAATATTAAGGACTCAGCTGATTGGATTGAGCAGGGCAGGTCATTCCACTCATTGACAAATATCTGATCTTGTAAGATGTGCTCCCTTTACACAGCGTGCGTGTGATTGCGAAATCGAAAGTGAAAGTAAACAACGCAAACGCTCATTCAAAAATATTTAAATACACCGCATCCTGAAAGCGGCTCCCTGATGCGCCAAAATTATATACAATATTAGAATGTTTAAAGGAGTGGACATGAAAATCGCCGGAGCGAAACACATGTTGCGGCAGCAGGCGGCAATGGTCAGAGATTCAGAGGGCAATTAAGAAATCCCGGCCGGACGCATTTTTGTAGGTCCAAAAAGAGGACATGTCCGGGGAAAAGAGGACGCAAGGTCACCCTAATTTATAATCTATTGCTAATCGGTGTATTCTTTTTAAAGTAGCATATGGAACATATTTTCTGCCTCATTCTGTGACAAGAAGCCTCATCAGATCACAAAAGGAAATTAGCAAGCCTTTGTGTTCTTTTTGGTCAGCAGTGGCTTTTGCCTTGGAACTCTCCCATGGATGCCGTTTTTGCCCAGTCTCTTTCTTATTGTTGAATCATGAACACTGACCTTAACTGAGGCAAGTGAGGCCTGCAGTTCTTTAGATGTTGTTCTGGGTTCTTTTATGACCTCTTGGATGAGTCGTCGTTGTGCTCTTGGAGTAATTTTGGTCGGCCGGCAACTCCTGGGAAGGTTCACCATTGTTCCACGTTTTCTCAATTTGTGGATAATGGCTCTGACCATGGTTCGCTGGAGTCCCAAAGCCTTAGAAATGGCTTTATAATCCTTTCCAGACTGATACATGTCAACTGTTTTGATTCTAATCTGTTCTTGAATTTCTTTAGATCGCGGCATAATGTGTTGCTCTTTAAGCATGCTTCACTTTGTCAGACAGTTTCTATTTAAGTGATTTCTTGATTCAACAGGTCTGGCAGTAATCAGGCCTGGGTGTGGCTAGTGAAATTTAACTCAGCTTTCTAAAATATTGTGGTTAATCATAGTTCCTTTCTTGATTTAA